AACGCTTGCGAAAGCAAAGCGCCATAATTCACCTGTCATGAATACCGGTTTCTGTCATAATAAAATTCCTTGGTATGGATTACTATTAGTTTTTCTCCGTAAAGTAACAAAAATGTTTATCGATTAGGTTTATTTTATTATTTTTCAAATTAATTGGATATAAAATTTCTCTAAATGAACTCATGACTAATGGTGTAGCACAAAATGAGAATCTTTGATCAAGCACTCAAAAAATCTGCATTTTATTTACAAGAATTCAAATTTGAACTTTGATAGAGTTATCTTTTCAATTTTGTTAAATTTTGTAAAGCAAGGCTGAAAGAAAGCGAAAAAAAAAGAAAAAAGTCGTTCCGTTCTACCTGCTGCTTTGCCCGCTTCGCTACGCTTGCTGTCCCCGCAGCTCGGCTTCGCTTCGGCTCCGCTTTCGATTTCCTTAGAAAAAGTTACTCGCTACTGTACAGTATCATCGCGAAAAGTGAATGTTTAAATTGAACCGTAAACAAAACCTTTTCTGAAGCAAAGGATGTAATAATCTTTGGTTTTACTTGCTGCTCCGCTCGCTACGCTTCGCTTGCTCACGCCGCAGCTCGGCGTCGCCTTCGGCTCCGCCTTCGATTTCCGTACAAACGGTTATTCGCTTCCGTATCATCGCATTAATGGAACGTTTGAACTACACCGTAAAAAAATCTTTTTAGAAGAAAGAAGAATCGATCCCTTTGGTTTTACTTGCTGTTCCGCTCGCCACGCTGCGCTTTCTGGGGCCGCAGCTCGGCGTTGCCTCTGGCTAAGCCTTCAGTTTCAACAGCAAGGGTGACGGCAATCCGTTAACAATAGTTGTTACGGTAGCTCTTACCGTGATAGAAACTGAGGTGGTTACGGTAACTTGTTACAGTTATGGTAGCGTAACATATATTATTGGTAACGCTTAATTAGAGTGGTAAAAGCTCGTAACGCGTTACCATGAGTCATTACAAAATGAATGGGGCTCAATTGGTCCTGTAAAGTAAGTGCAAATGTAGGTAAAAATGCCCCCGTGGTTCCCGGCAAGTCGGTTTTCCAAAAACGAACCAACTGGGGCGGGCAAAATTTTCGGACCGGGTCCAAGAAAACGGGCTCTCCATACTATATGTATGGCGGGTTCGTGAAAAATGCCCCGGTGGTTCCCCGCATGTCGGTTCCCCAAAAACGCACCAACCGGGGCGGGCAAAATTTCCGGACCGGGTCCAAGAAAACGGGCTCTCCATACTATATGTATGGCGGGTTCGTGAAAACTGCCCCGGTGGTTCCCGGCATGTCGGTTCCCCTAAAACGCACCAACTGGCGCGGGCAAAATTTCCGGACCGGGTCCAAAAAAACGGACCCTCCATACTATATGTATGGCGGGTTCGTGAAAAATGCCCCGGTGGTTCCCGGCATGTCGGTTCTCCAAAAACGCACCAACCGGGGCAGGCAAAATTTCCGGACCGGGTAAAAAAAAACGGGCTCTCCATACTATATGTATGGCGGGTTCGTGAAAAATGCCCCGGTGGTTCCCCGCATGTCGGTTCCCCAAAAACGCACCAACCGGGGCGGGCAAAATTTCCGGACCGGGTCCAAGAAAACGGGCTCTCCATACTATATGTATGGCGGGTTCGTGAAAACTGCCCCCGTGGTTCCCGGCATGTCGGTTCCCCTAAAACGCACCACCTGGGGCGGGCAAAATTTCCGGACCGGGTCCAAAAAAACGGACCCTCCATACTATATGTATGGCGGGTTCGTGAAAAATGCCCCGGTGGTTCCCGGCATGTCGGTTCCCCAAAAACGCACCAACCGGGGCAGGCAAAATTTCCGGACCGGGTCCAAAAAAACGGGATCTCCATACTATATGTATGGCGGGTTCGTGAAAAATGCCCCGGTGGTTCCCGGCATGTCGGTTCCCCAAAAACGCACCAACCGGGGCAGGCAAAATTTCCGGACTGGGTCCAAAAAAACGGGCCCTCCATACTATATGTATGGCGGGTTCGTGAAAAATGCCCCGGTGGTTTCCGGCATGTCGGTTCCCCAAAAACGCACCAACTGAGGCGGGCAAAATTCTCGGACCGGGTTCTAAAAAACCGGCTGTAATGTAGTGCAGTGGCTACGCGCCCTTGCGCGTAGCAACATTATATATTTGTGACCTGTAGAGGATGGAATATTCTGTTGTGTTCTTGATTATACATTTAGTATCTATCCGGCCAGTACACAGAAGCCCAATAAAACCGGTGCTTCAATACGTGACAATTGGCGTGAAGTGTGTAGTATTCATTGAACTTTAAGTGGGAAGAGAGAAGTGAGCGTAAGTTAAGCGTAACAATGGCGACTTTAACGGATCGACTGGCGAAGTTTAATCCGGAAACGATGGATTATAAAGCGTGGAAGTTCTTGTTTGATAATTACGTTGCCCTGACGGATCTTCATACCGATAAGCACCGCCCTTTGCTGATCAACAGCCTGGACACCAAAGCCTTACAGCTTCTCGTGTCCATGTGCAAGCCGAAAATGCCGTCGGATTTCACGTTGGGAGAATTGCTGACGAAGCTGGAAACGGCATACGCGCCGTACACCAACCAGATCACAGAATGGGCACTATTCTTCAGCCTTCGTCAAGGTGAAAGTGAAAGCCTGGTCGATTTTGCGACACGGATGCGGGACAAGACCATCCTGTGTGATTTCCCTAGCACTGTTCTTGAAAAGAATTTGTGGGCTGTCCTAGTGGCGGGAATACGAAGCGACGCAACCAGGAGGTATTTGATGTTGTCGGAATTGAAAACATTCGACGCCGCCCTGCAGCTGGCCATCAAGTTTGAGACAAGCGTAAAGGAAGCCAAAAAGAATAATGTCGAAGACGAATCGGTGAACAGAATTGCAAAGAGAGACGCTAAAGAGAAGAAAGACGAGAAAAGTGAACGCCGTAAGGAGACAAAGAAAGGAAGTGATGAAGAGGAAAGTGACGAAGAGGGCGCGTCCCGGCGCAAGTGTAAGCGGTGTGGTTCATGGCGCCACACACCGGATGAATGCTGGTACCGGAACACTCGTTGCAATCATTGCGGAAATAAAGGTCATATCGAAAGAGCCTGCCAGCAAAAGAGAAGTGAAGAACGAAAGAAGGATAAAATCAGCACGGTTTTTAATGTTGAAGAAGATTATTTTGATATTTTGCCCTGAAGTTTTTCACTTCATTTTTCCGGTGAAGGTGTAATGTAGTGCAGTGGCTACGCGCCCTTGCGCGTAGCAACATTATATATTTGTGACCTGTAGAGGATGGAATATTCTGTTGTGTTCTTGATTATACATTTAGTATCTATCCGGCCAGTACACAGAAGCCCAATAAAACCGGTGCTTCAATACGTGACACCGGCCCTCCATACTGTTTGTATGGCGGGTTCGTGAAGAATGCCCCGGTGGTTCCCCGCATGTCGGTTCCCCAAAAACGCACCAACCGGGGCGGGCAAAATTTCCGGACCGTGTCCAAAAAAACGGGCTCTCCATACTATATGTATGGCGGGTTAGTGAAAACTGCCCCGGTGGTTCCCGGCATGTCGGTTCCCCAAAAACGCACCAACCGGGGCGGGCAAAATTTCCGGACCGGGTCCAAAAAAACGGGTTCTCCATACTATATGTATGGCGGGTTCGTGAAAAATGCCCCGGTGGTTCCCCGCACGTCGGTTCCCCAAAAACGCACCAACCGGGGCGGGCAAAATTTCCGGACCGGGTCCAAAAAAACGGGCCCTCCATACTGGTTCGTGAAAAATGCCCCGGTGGTTCCCCGCATGTCGGTTCCCCAAAAACGCACCAACCGGGGCGGGCAAAATTTCCGGACCGGGTCTAAAAAAACGGGCCCTCCATACTATATGTATGGCGGGTTCGTTAAAAATGCCCCGGTGGTTCCCCACATGTCGGTTCCCCAAAAACGCACCAACTGAGGCGGGCAAAATTCTCGGACCGGGTTCTAAAAAACCGGCCCTCCATACTGTTTGTATGGCGGGTTCGTGAAGAATGCCCCGGTGGTTCCCCGCATGTCGGTTCCCCAAAAACGCACCAACCGGGGCGGGCAAAATTTCCGGACCGGGTCCAAAAAAACGGACCCTCCATACTTTATGTATGGCGGGTTCGTGAAAAATGCCCCGGTAGTTTCCCGCATGTCGGTTCCCCAAATACTTACCAACCGGGCGGGCAAAATTTCCGGACCGGGTCCAAAAAAACGGGCTCTCCATACTATATGTATGGCGGGTTCGTGAAAAATGCCCCGGTGGTTCCCGGCATGTCGGTTTCCCAAAAACGCACCAACTGGGGCGGGCAAAATTTCCGAACCGGGTCCAAAAAAACGGGCCCTCCATACTATATGTGTGGCGGGTTCGTGAAAAATGCCCCGGTGGTTCCCGGCATGTCGGTTCCCCAAAAACGCACCAACTGGGGCGGGCAAAATTTGTGGACCGGGTCCAAAAAAACGGGCCTTCCATACTATATGTATGGCGGGTTCGTGAAAAATGCCCCGGTGGTTCCCAACATGTCGGTTCCCCAAAAACGCACCAACAGAGGCGGGCAAAATTTCCGGACCGGGTCCAAAAAAACGGGCCCTCCATACTATATGTATGGCGGGTTCGTGAAAAATGCCCCGGTGGTTCCCCGCATGTCGGTTCCCCAAAATCGATCCACCAGGGCCGGTCTGTATGAATGTACCGGGTCCCAATTTACGACCTCCTATTCATTTGCTGCAACAGGTCCGTCAAAATAACCCGGTTGGTTTTTCGATTTTTTTACTACCTTCTCAATTGCTTCAGCGGGGGGCTGCGCCCCCCGCACTCCCTGCTTATTGGGGCTCCGCCCCAGAAGCCAGGGCTTCGCCCCTGGACCCCGGGGACCCAGCTCTCCGCATGTCGCACCGCATATTAAAAACGCTCGCTCGCTTCGCTCGCTCGCTTGATTACTGTACAGTACTCGTATGTCAACTGTCTTCATTTGCTTGCAACGTGTTGGAAATTTCAAATTAGAATTTAGAGTATGATTCAAGTTGTTCGAGTAAGTAAGGTTTTACTTACTTGAATAGAGTAATTTAATTCTGCGGACAGTAAAAGTTAAAAATGGATTTTCTGGTAGCTTTTTAAACTTGTGATAGCAAATTGATAGAGCACAAGCTTTTCGGATCCAGTAAACGTAAGTTGGACTGCACTCTGGGAACCATCGAGTTCTGAGTATAAACTGAGACTTCTCACACCTGAAGAGGAGTTCTCGTACACCTATTTGGCAAACAGTCCGGCAGACACGATGTGCAGCGTGTATCCCCGCTCTCACGACATTTACGCGTGGAACGCGGTGGACGTGCGGGCCAGCGACGGCACGCTGCAGCACGGCCGCGTCATCAACGTCCTACACAACGGTTTGGTCGTCGATTTCGACTGCCCCGGACGACGCGCTGAACTGGTTAATCCTGAACTGGTACCAGTGCACTACAGCCGCCGTCCCTCCGGACACACCTTCGATGGCACAATTGACTCGGCATGGCACTTTGACAATGCAGTGTTCCCCGGGGGTGACGAAAAGCCCTCTGTGGAGGTCTTGGCGCGGACCAGTGCGGCTAGCCCGTGGACATGGCACTCAGCGGTACCATTGTATCGAAATCTTTTCTGTGGGCGGTATATATTTGTGGATATGCAGCTGGACAAAGGCATAGTACGGCGACTGATGCGGGCGCATTCTGTGCGTTTAGCGGAGTCTGCGAACGCTCCTATCAGCAGCCGTGACATCGGGATTTACGACTTCGTCACTCGCGCCTGCACCCCTCCCGCGGACTACTGGGGCGGTGACTGCGTTACCGCGCCTTTGTGGGACGCCTGGAAGGAGGCGGTGGAGGCGTCCAAGTACGAGTTTTGGCCTGTGTGTGTCATGGGCAGGACACTGGTGTATTTGCTAGAAGTGCTAGAGCCACCGTTGGAAGACGAGCAGCTAGTAAGTCTCTTGCGCTCTATTCCATAGAGTATTTTCTCATATAATTTTAAGTAGCAATCACTGAAGCTATCTATAGTTCCAAAATTGTTACAACGTTACAACGGCATTTATCTGGATGTACACTTCAGTCTACCGTACTAATTCAAACCCCTGATTTGCAAAAGTCCAAATATCCCGGAAGAGAGGGCTTATTTTCGGGGAGGGAGCGCTATTTCGGCCGGGGGAGGGAGGTATGGTATTTTCAAAACTGTATTCCATTATTTTGTGGAGGGGATCAGGGGGCCGATATATCTTATCCAACTGCGCGTTCTGTTTTATTGAAACTGAAGGAGCGCTCAAGTATCCGTCTTATCGCGGTTTTGCAATTGCACAACCTTGCGTGGATATCCCGAAACATTTAGCTACTGTGCTTGCATTTTGAAGACAGAATTTGACAAAGGCGAACTTGTTAAATTCACATTTTCGGAAGGTGTCCCGAGTCCCCGACTAGCGTTTATGCTCCATCCGGCCCCCTGCATTTTGCAAAACTGTACTACCATTTTCACCGTAATTTTTTGAATACACCATTGGATTCGCCGTAAAATTCTGAACAAGATTAATGAGTCCGATTTTTGAAATGCGTTCCCCCAAAAAGTCGACAAAGGCGGACACCATATAATTTGGAGTTTGCGGCGGCATTTGCCCCGGGCTGCCTTAAACGCCAGAAAATATTCATTTTGCTTAGGTGTCTGCCGTGCAGAATTACATAAGTATTATGTACTGTTTTTAGCACTTAACAGTTGTAGTGAGCTTGGGGAAGTCAGGGGGGAAACCCCTGCAAACTATGCTGTCGTACGGCTGACCGCTCCCGGGAGTCGATTGTGGGGACAGACGGACTTCAAAATTCCGTTCCAACTAATTTGTTCAGAATTTTAAGCAGAGTTCATTAGTCTACTGAGAAAAACGTGGGATGAAAACTGAGGGAAAAGTAGATTTCTGAACGCTACAAGGGGAAGCACGCCAAACAGGGGGCGTCGCATTGAGGACCGCACGTGGAAGCGTCTTGTGAGGGAAAACGAATTTCAAAAATCAGCTTTATTGTTCGTGTTCAGAATTTCACGGCGCATTTTAGAAAAAATGCACGATGAAAACGGTATGTAAAGTGGAGCTTCGCAAACTGCACCGGGGTCTCGCGACGGGCCTGTATTCCATATAAGCCGCAATCAGCGCGGCGGATATATATTATATGGAAATTTTTACAGTTTCTGTATTGCATCAGCTCCGCTAGATACAGATTACAGAAGTGACGGTAACCCGAATCAAAATATGCCTTGTATTTCTCGTCGCTCATCAGTGTTTGCTTTATCTTATTGTCCGCCTCTAGGAAAAGCTAATGGCCGATGCAAGAAGCCGTCTCCAGCAGCAGTCATACCAATTGCCTGCACCGTTCGAGCCGCCCCCCGATGTTGAAGGACGCCATCAGGCGGAAGTGTTGTCCTTGTTACCGGCTGAAATTCTCCGGCAGGTCTTAGACATGCTGGACACCGTGCAGCGGGCCCAGTGTCGTCGCGTTTGTGCGCTGTGGAGCGATCTCATCGGGACGGACGAGCGCGTAATCTGGGTGTCCTTTTCCCACCAGCGTCTCATCGATAGGGACGGTATCGCCACGACGCCCAATGAGGCCGAGTGGTGCCGATCGGCGTACCTCGTAGGCATGTGTTTGTGGAAATGCCTGCGGCGGACCCCCCAAACCATCATCATTAGCAACGCATCCCAACAACACCCGAATCATTCCCCTCTGGGTAACTGCTTCGATCTGATCGACAGCATCCAGCACGAGCTGGATCCCGAGGAACCCGTCACAGTTATTGTGTACAAATTCCACTGGGATCTGGGCACTGGCCTTGACGAGGATCTACATGCGGCGGCATCAGCGGTGTATGGATGCATGGTGTGGAAGGACGGGACGTTCAGCGGTCCCGGGGAACACTTTCGTCGCGAGCCGATTAAATACGGTGTAACTTACGAGAGCGGCGAAACCCTGGATGTGGACGGTGATCCCGTCCCCGTTCACTTGTATCTGAGTAATTTGCTGGAAAAGGGGTTGACGCTTGATTGTCGGGAAACTCGACTCCAGCTGAAGGATTGGTTCGCCGATGTGGCCCAACAGGAGGCGGGTTCCGTAGATCGTCAACGGATCGACACGGTAAGCCGATCTGTATTCCAGTCAGCCGCCATTTATTTGATGAAAAACTGTGAACGGTCAACAAGTCGAATGCGTACGGTGTTGACATGTCGTGATATCGAACTCGCGGTCTGCTGAATCGCCGTTCTGTCGAAACGACCCCCTGTCGATGGAACAGGAAATCAGTCAACGCCGTCAGCTTTCTTAGATTTCTTGGGTTTCTTAGGTTTCGTAGCTGCTTTTTCGTACCAACAACGTATGCTGTTAACCGTCAGGATGCGGCTGTAGCTGTTGTTTTTTTTTCGTGTCGCAGATTATGGGCTCTTGTCAGGAGAACGATCCGCGTGTCATTGTCAAGTTCGGCAGGATGCAATGGACTGTGGATACTGTGCAGGGCGAGGAGTTGGACAAGTTGACCAAACTGACGTTGTGCGCACTGCAGCGGGAAATGGTGCGTGGCAGAGGTGCTCAGTCCGATCAACTTCCGGCTCACACACCGAGTGCACAGTAGTGTACTTACAAGTACTAACGTTCAACAATGTTAAGATTATTAATCCGTTCTCGCAAGTGTACCGACTACGGATTGATGCGTGTTTCATATTTTTCACTACAGTTTTCGTTTTGTTTGTATCTGCTTTGTGATAAAAAGTGGTAACTTAAATTCTTTATCACTAGTGTGAGTGGGGGACAGCTGACAAAGATGATGCAGCATGAACACTGAACAGGCTGGTTAAATGTACAGAGTAGAGCTCATTACAGTACAAGAACTCAACTGGTGTGACTGTCGACTTGAAATATAGGTTGGTTCAGCGTTGCAATATTTGTATGTAATTCAAAAATCGAAGAAACAGTAAAATCAACTTCCGGTAAATATGCAATCATGCTATCATATCAGCCAGCTATTAATTAAGTACATCAGGTACTGAACAAGATGGTTAAAATCATTTCTGCTTTAGTGCACAGCACAAAACTAAGTACAGGTTTTGCTAGTGTTCATCCGAACACCATGACGATGCCCGGTGTGCCCACTCGCTTCGCCTGCACTGTTTTTTTGAAAAAAATTTTCAAGGCACTAAACACCGCTGTACAAGAACAACTGGAGTACACCAAGCGAAAGGAAAACTTACGCAACCATGTCTCCGGTTCACCTTTGCCGCCAAAGATCCTTGCCGAGATGTTCAAGTTAGTGGACACCGTTCAGTGGCTGCGTTTGAAACGCGTCTGTTATCTATGGAATGAGATGTTGACCTCGTCAGAAATGTGCAAAGCATTGCAAAGAAGAAGATAAAGTAAACGCAAAGTAGCGCATGGCGTTGCCTCATACTTCATAGACGCCATCCATTATGGGTTTTCACTTGCCGCGCACGGCGTTTTCGTGTGAAACCTCTCCGCATCAACCCCAATTCCTCCCATCGGCCGTACGCAGCAGGCTGCGTTGCTACCACCAACTCCCGTGTGTACGTAAACCGCACAAGAATTTAAGCAATTTCCCCATCAGCAGAGAACGATTCGCGTGTAATTGCCAAATTCGGCAAATTGCGCTGGAGTGTGGATACAGTTCAGACCTCAGGGCAAAGAGTTGGACCAGTTGACCAAATTGAATTGCCACTGTGAGCTCTGCAATGGGAAATGGTGCGTGGTAGAGGCATTCAATCCGATCAGTTTGTAGCCCACCCCCGTAGTCCGCAGTAGGTACAAATAACATTCTGCTTACACTACATTCAGCATGATCAGTTTTTAGTATCCCGTTTTCGTCAAGTGGAACAGCTGTGAACGGCGGATGTTTTCAGTTCTTCACTACAGAATTAGGTTTTTCGACCTGTTTATGTGATGAACCGTAAAAACGCACTGTAACAGGAATCCGTTATCATAAGTTAGTGAAACAAGGAAAATTCAAGATGACAAGGCTATTTGAATAAATATGGAGCCAGCTTCAAAAACGCAAGTAGTCCGACTGTCCACACGGTTTCAAGTTTCATTCGAGTAATAGATTCAGCGCTGCAATAAGTGCTTACAAAAACGGAAGAATCAGCATGGGTAACTTCCGCCTTCCGGTAAATCGGCAATCAGGCTACCAGGCTGCCAAAATGATGATTACAGTAGGAAAACATGGTCAACTGATCAGACAAAAATAATTACTTTCTCGCTTTAAGTACAAAGGTATGCTTTTCTGTCAGCTCATTCGACACCGCCCGGTTTGTCCACTCAAGATCCAGCATGAATGAAGAAATCTGTATGCAAGCGCCGTCGGAGGGGTAAGTAATAATTTCACATTTTCACCCTTCCATGCAAGTTGGCTCGCCGCCAGCCATCTCGCGCTGCAGAGCGTATAATGTCAGCTTGGTCAGGCCGTCCAACCCGTTACGTTGCACTATATCCACCGTCAACCATACCATGTCGAGCGGATCGCCCGGATTGGTATTATGACACAGGAACCGGTGTCATAATACCAACCTTGGCAGTCATGGAGAACCTGTTAATAACACAACAACTCAACAAGGTAATGCTGTGTAATGCGGTTGGCAAATCGAGCATACGTGAAGACAGCGAAAATCGCGAATGCCTGAGCTACACCAACCAACCAACATACCACGGCCCGCCAACGTCAGTCTGCTTTACATGCAAGGATGGTTGGTGCTTGCCGAAGATTGATATCTATATTCATTGTATTTACTACTCATCTTTGTTTTCTGCTGCGTTACCCATTGTTGTTATTTATTAATACGAATACTGCAAGTACGAAATTTGTTATTGCGATTATCGCAGTGTAGTGGACAATGGCCATCATACTAATTGAGTTATCGTCGATTCGCGCCGCCAACTGCAACCCTACCAGTACAATTGTACGAGTATCTTTAGCAACTTTCTCTTTATCTCTCTGTTATCTGAAGCAATACACAAATTACATAGTTTTTCTTGTATAGATATAAGCAATGTGCACTATGTAGATATCGAAGCAAACGAAAATCAAAGGTTTGGTGAAAAACACAGAAAACGAAAAACCTTGTGCCACTTTGGGCCATTTTTTCATGTCCTTCTGGACATCAGTCTTTTGATTACCAGTTTCGTCTTTAGAGTTGTTTCGTCGGCCAGCGCTTGTAGGTACATATCAACTTCCAGTAGAGTTAGTGTTACTACGATGTTGACAGTACGCTTTAAAAAGCTCAGAGGTTAACATCAGCTACACAAAACTAAATAAACCAAACGAAATCTTCTTTCACAAAACTAAATAAACACTTCGAAGAACACTTCTCTGAAGTGTTCTTCGAAGAACAGAAAGAACAGAAAGAACACTTCTCTGAAGTGTTCTTTCTCGCTGTTGCGAATACGTACATCAGCCTTTACATCAGAAGAGAACGCATTTTACGTCCACTCCAGCGCATCCATATGGACACTCCATATGGACAAATTATGTTCACATTTCGCCGAAAACAACAAATTTTCCGCAGCATTGATATTATTTACCGTACGATCGCTGAGAAGCGTTGTGCTTTTGACATATACCCCATGACAGTTCTTTATTTTCACAGAAGAGCGGTTTGAGCTGAATGAATTTTCTTTTGCAAGAGAGAATTCCCAACGTTACTACATTTGTATGTGAGACTGTTGTCCCCTTTGCATGTGAGACTTTTTGGCACTTGGTGTGAGACCGGCATTGTTACGTTAAAGGAGATTGGTAAGAAGTTATTTTTAAGGACGGGCGAGAGCCGATCTACCTGTTTTTTGTTTCAACGTTTAAGTTTGGAGATTATGCGTGGTAATGCTATGAGTGTCTTGTGCACAGTCCCTTCCCACGTTAATTGGGACAAATTCTTCATTTGATTATATTTGTTGAGCGAAGCTCGCCTTGTACATATTGAGAAATAAAACTGTTGTATGAATGTACATAAACCAAATTCAAAGGACTACATTTTGCATTTTAGGAAACGTTGCCGAGAATACAGAATAATTTAAAAAGTCCGCGCAAATCACGAGAAAGAGTACCAAAGACCGTCAAAGGTTTTCTCGGCAATTTGTTTCTATCAGCTTATAATTAACTGAAGTTATCATTTATTTCGGTTCCTTAACGAAGGAATATTGCAACGATATGAGCAGGGCCGCATGGATGGTGTAGGCCGCAGGCTCAATTTGGCTCCGCCAGTTCCGCCCACTTCGAACTTTATACTGCGCCCATAAATTCAAAGTCTGCGCCCGTATATATAAGCAGCGCCTGCGCCCGTATATATTACTTCGTGCTTTAACAGCATAAATATTATAAATTGTAAATTATAATTTGTGTTCACCGTACATAAGGCTAAAAGCACATCAGGCCAAAGTCCAGTCTGCGCCACGGGCGCACGCCAAGTGGCGCCCGCTGCACCATTTAAAAAATTCAATAATTGTGTGCGCGTTCGCCCTTTTCGGGCGCAAATTTAATTCAAACGTTGGCCGAGGCAGACACGTTGTACGCGTTCACCAGTGCGCCCATACCCTCCCAACGGCTGGATATGGCTCAAAGCACCTGAATCTCTTTCTGACGGGAAATACAAATTAGAGAAAGTTACTTTGGGAATGTCCTTTTTACATACTGATAACCACATAATTATATGGAAGCTAACAAGCGGATGCCTACCCGATCGATCCGCTGACGAAGCGCAGAACCTGCTCCTTCCCTGGCTGCTTCTGCGATCCAGACAGACAACCGCGGTAGATCGGCCTCAAAATCCGGCAGACTGGCCTCAACCACGCCGTACAGTCCCAGGGCCCCGTTTGCAGTGGTCCCCGTGGGACTGACGCCGTAGATAATGGGATGTCGGTGGAAGAGCTCCTTCGGGCCGGAGAACGTGCAGTCTTTCCAGATGACTCTGACCCGGGGCACCCCACAGTCCAGCCCGCTGTTGGGCAAAAAATCAACGTCCCAGTGGAACTTGTGCACGATGAGCGTCAGCGTTTTTCCGTTAGACGGCAGCTCCTGGTAGATGTGCTCGATTAGCCGCAGACAGTCAGCCAAAACTTCATTGGAATAGCCCTGGTGTGACGCACGGCTAATGATGATCCTCTCCGTGCCGGTACCCACGCACTGCCACAAACTCCATCCTACCATGTACGCCGACCGCCGCCACTCTACCTCGTGGGGAGTGATGGGCCGACCTCGATCATCAACGCAGCGCTGGTGGGAGAACGACACGACGACCTCAACGCAGTGATGCTCCAGTATACCATCCCACAGTGAACACACTCGCCGGCAGTGGGCCCGCTGCGCGCTGTCCAAAACCTGCAGAATTTGATTAACAAGGACCCTTGGCAGCTGTTGGAGTGAATCCTCCTGAGTTGGCCTGCAGGGTGATGGGGACGGTGTCATCACTGAGAATGACTGCGGTGCTAGTCGGCTCTTGGCTTCGGACAGTAGATTCTCCTGAAAACATGGAAATTGATACTCATATTGATATATTGATTGGAAATCTTCCCAAAATATGGATACAACTCCTTCAAATACTGTTTTTATTGCGTATTTATCTGCACCGGGGTTACCAAAAAATTCTTTCGGAAGGCCATTGGAACGAGGCTGTATTTCGTGAGGCGGGAACAGCTAAAAATTTTCATTGTTGATTGCTCTAACACATGGAATGCGTTTTTGACATTAAGTAGCCAAATCCTGTGTCGACATAGGTTACATAGGTTTGCCAGGTTTTCAAAGTGATAAAATTCCAAAAAAAATTGAAATGCATTCAGGTGCACAAAAGTCTCACTAATATTGTCCCGGTGCCCAAAAAAAGTCACACAAGAACGTAAAAAGACAATGTACAAGTTTAAGTTCTTAATACAATTTTTTAATCAGGTAGTAACTGCCAGATTCCTGGAGACTTAGATTATGGGGGAAAAGGAATGAAGCGAACCCAGTAGACAAATACGGCAAATTGCCGGCGTTTATCAGGATAAAAAGGATCAAATACTGGAAGTTACTCACCAAATCCTCGGTGGTAAGGGGGCTGTCCGATATAATCCGAAGAAACACTACCATTTCCCCCATGAGGCACACCGGCCACACTGTGTGCTTGGACGCCTTAATAGCCTCTTTCCAGGCGTCCCACAACGGTGCTGCCACATGGTCACTGCCCCAATAGCCAGCAGGCAGCTGTTGGCCGGACGTGACGAATAGACAACGCTGAATGGCAGACGTCGCCCCCTCGGGGGCGGCTATACGCACAGGGTGTGCCCGCATCATCTGCTTAACCTCGCTCCCCTCGTTCAACCGAATCTTCACGAAGACGTATCGTTGCCAAAACAGACGCCGATAAATTAGTTCAGCGGGATACCACGTCCAGGGACGGTTGGCTTCTACACGGGCCAACACCTCCAAACTTTGCTGGCTGGCAGGCGGAGATTGCATACCCGTGTCGAGACCGAGACCGTGGCGAAATCCATAGGTAAGGTCTTCGGCGAAAGTGCTGTACACATCGCGAGGACATCGAAAAGCGGCGCTGTGCTCCACCAGGTCGGCGCGTCGTCCAGGGCAGTCAAAATCCACGATGAGGCCGTTGTGCACGACGTTGATGATTCGGCCGTGCTCCAGTAAACCATTGGGGCTTCGCACACCAACTGCGTTCCATGCGTAGATCTCGTCGGGATGGTTGTAGATGGTGCACATATTTTCGAACTGGGTCCTTCGGTTGTTCCACATCAGGAGGTCGGATTTGGAACAACAAGGGATGAGTTATCTACACTGTGTAGGGTGTAGGGCTGCCTCTTTGCCACTGCGGTTGGAACGAATTTTAAAATGCGAAATCATACGACGAAACCGTGAAACGTCGAAAGGAGCGGCAGATAACGTTCTATTAAATGCAAAATAAATTAAATGCGAAAAAAACAGTTTCTACTAAACAATTTCTACAAAAATTGACTGAGTAGAGTCCTTGGTCTTTCCCGTGCTCCATAGCTGCCTGCAGCGGCAGTGTGGCCGATCATGATCATGATAGAGTTAAACCGCCAGGGTGGCGTCTTCACGGATTCACGCTGCAGGTTGCGCCGTGCGCGCAGTATTCCGAACTTCAATCGGATTTTTATGGCCCACGCTGATTTTTATTTTTGAATTTTAAGACATCGCGATTTGGAATTACGATTTCCGAGTGGAAGATTTTTTACGAGTCGAAGTCTAACATAATACATGAAGTCTGCAAGTAGCGATAATCGAATTGTTCACTTGTTATAGAGAAATTTTTCAGGCGTTCGACCGACCCGTCTAGTGCCGAGCAGCAGCAGCAGCAGTACTTGTGGAGTTCTTTTTGGCATATCGATTTCAGACGCAATGTGCAGCGTGTACCCCCGCTCTCACGACACTTACGCGTGGAACGCGGTGGACGTGCGCGCCAGCGACGGCTCGCTGCAGCACGGCCGCGTCATCAACGCCCTGAATAACGGCTTGATCGTCGACTTCGAGTGCCCCGGCCGAAACGCTGCATTCGTCAATCCGGACCTGGTAGCCGTGCGCGCCAGCTGTCATTCCCTGGGGTACACCTTCGATGGCACACTGGACTCGGCTTGGCACTTCAACAACGCAGCGTTTCCCCCTGGTGACGATGAGCCCAGGGTGGAGATTTTGGCGCGGACCAGTGCGGACCGCCCATGGACATGGCACGCGACAGAACCGTTATATAGTCAACTGTTCTGGCAGCGCTATGTGTTTGTGGAGATGCAGCTGGATGCCGGCGTGAAAAGACGCCTGATGCGGGCACAACCTGTGCGCCTACCGGAGTCCGCTGACGCTCCTGACAGTAGCGAGGGTCGCATCGGGATGTACGCCTTCGTGACTCGCGCTTTCATGCTGCCTGAGGACTACTGGGGCGGTGAGTGCGTGAGCGCGGCTCTGTGGGACGCCTGGAAGCAGGCCGTGGAGGCGTCAGAGTACGCCGTGTGGCCTGTTTGCCTCATGGGCAGGACGCTGGTGTACTTGCAAGAACTGATAAAGTCACCATTGGAAGATGAACACCTGGTAAGCCTCTCGCGCTCGGTACCATTCTGGCATAGGGTATTTCGGGACTACGGTAATCACAATGCTGGTCACATACGCTACACGAGTCATGATGATTATCAGAAAAACCAGCCGCACATCGGCACTTGAACACTGTTTGCACAATGCAAACTCTCACTCTCCAAAAATCAGCAAAACTGGTTCTGATAGCGCGTAGCACATAGAAATTTTTCCTGTTTTTTTTCGCATTGCCCGTTTGCCGAAATATCTTACGCCAAAATGATCGGGCACGCGTGGCTCGGTGGTATTTCTAATCTTTGCATTGCCCGGCTTTTTACAGCAGCGACTAATCACCGAGGCTAGGAACCGACTCACGCAGGTGCCGTGCGAATCGCTGCCGTTATACAAGCCGTCTGGAGTCGTTGATGCACTTGACGGTGCCGGTCAGATGGAAATGTTTTGCGCCTTGCCAGCTGCAATATTCCGCCAAATCTTGGACATGCTGGACAGTGTGCACCGGGCCCAGTGTTGCCGAGTTTGTCCGCTGTGGGACTCTCTTATCGGAACGGAACAGCGGGTAATCTGGGTGTCGTTCTCCCACCAGCGCCTCGTCGATGAGGACGGAATCGCCACGACGCCCAACGAGACCGAGTGGTACCGATCGGCGTACCTCGTAGGCATGTGTTTGTGGAAATGCCTGACGTCGATCACCAAAATCATCATCATGGGTAATGCGTCGCATCAGCAGCCGGACAATGCGGCTCTGTCCGACTGCTTCGATCTGATCGACAGCGTCCTGATCGAGCAAGATCTCGATGAAAATAATAACATAACGGTTATTGTAAACAAGTTCTACTGGGATCTGGGTAACTGCCTGGACGAAGATATGCATGGCGCGGCGGCGGCGGTGGCCAGGGTGGTGTGGAAGGACGGGACTTTCAGTGGTCCCGGCGAACACTTCCGCCACGAGTCGATAAAGTATGCTGTCAGCTGTTTGAGCGCCGAACCAGTGGATGTGGACGGTGAGCCCGTTCGCGTCCACATGAATCTCAGTGACGTGCTGGAAAGGGGTCTGACGGTGGATTGTCGTGAAGCGCGGCTGCAGTTGAAGGATTGGTTGGCTGATGTGGCCTCGCAGGAGCCGGAGTCCTCGGACCGTCAGCGGATCGACACGGTAGGCCGACTTGTAATTCCCCTTTGACATACGGTCGCATTCCACAATTTTTGGCATAGATTCTGAACGCTATATAGTAATTCTAAATCATGACACTACGTACTAACTGATTTTCCATGATTTGTGTCGCCAGGTGCTGATTTCTTGCCAGGAGAGCGATCCGCGGGTTGTTTCCAAATTCGGCAAGATGCAGTGGAGCGTAGATACTGTGCAGGGTCAGGATCTGGACAAGCTGACCAAATTGACGTTGTGCGCACTACAGCGCGAAATGATTCGTGGCAACTGCACGCAATGCGATTCAGCTTCCAGCTAACCCCAGGGTGGACATGATGGGTCCCCAGTGGGTAGCATGCGTACACCCATTTTAGTTTATCGTCGGTGCCGGAAGTGGAGTGACTGTGGACGACGGCGTGTTCTCACTTTTTCATGGCAGTGATTGCTCGTTTTATTTTCTCGCCTTCTGTGTGACGAACAGTGAGAAGTAACAGCAGCTGAAAGTGTGACAGCGAACTGCGCAGGGGAAAAATATGGTACGAATTGTAAATACGGTATGCGGCCATCTTGAAGAACGGAACTGGCATGAACGTGATTCTGAATTTCAGCTTCTTCGTTTACTGTTATTCTGCCGGGAAGTTGTTTGACAATTCGGGAGTAAATAATTTATCTACCATTACACAAATTTAAGAGAATGTTAAAAAATGCTAACAACAGAAGCTAGAAGCCAGTTAACAGGTTCTAAATTAATTCGTGTCAAATCTACAAAACGTGTTCGGTATCAAAGCAATAAAGCTTCCTCCTCTTTGAGGTAATCAGCGCTAATGCTGAGTATTGTATTAGATAAGCGCTAATGTGTAATCAAAGTCGCATCCCGGAAAAGTGATTAGATTACCACAGGAATCAACTGAGGAGTGCGAGAAAGTGACATTTCGACCGGGTGAAACGGCGCAAATTGGCACCAGGTGGTATCAGGCTAGGATTGAGGCCTTAGATTTAGGCCCTTGGCTAGATGGGGCTTTTCTTTGGATCCGAAGATGTTCTTAATGGCCTTCTGTACAGATTTTCCCGGTAAGCTGGAATGATAGATTAGCGGATTGAGCAGTTTCATATCGATAACGCGCAGTGTTGACTTTTAGCATACGAATGTGTGGCTGTCTTTTTGTCGTGAGGTTCCAAGCTTTTGTCATGAGAACAATCCGTGCGTTGTTGGCACTTGTTGCCGAATTCGGCAAGATGCAGTGGAGCGTGGATACTGTGCAGTGTCAGGACCTGGACAAGGCTGACCAAATTGACGTTGCGCGCTCCGCAGCGCGAAATACCTCGCGGCAACTGCACGCAGTCCTATTCAGCTTCGGGCTAACCCATCATGTCCCCACTAGCATGCATACATCCCATCCTAGTTTATTTTCGGTGCCTGAAGTGGAGTGACTGTGGAGTCCACATTGTGGACGGCAGAGTGTTTTTACTTTCCATTGCAATGATTGCTCATTTTGCTTTTCCATCTTCTGTGTGATAAACACTGAGAGACAATAGCAGCAGAAAGTGTGACAACGAATTGGACAGGATAAAAATATGGTACGAGCAGTAAATATGTGGCTTTCTCGAAAAACAAAACCGGAATGATCGTGATTCTAAAATTCTGCTTTCGTCGTTTATTTGTGTTGTGCCGGGAAGCTGTATAACAATCCGGGAGTGAAAAATCACTATTTATCTACCATTACACAAAATCAGGAGAATATTCTAAATTTGCTAACATCAGCAGCTGTAACCCGTAGAAATTCACCTGGCTCATTCGGTTATTAGATTCTAAAGTTAATTCGTGTGAAGGAGAACATTGGTACGGTATCAAAGCATCCTCCTCTTTAAGACTTCCATACAAGAACATTGGTTCGGTATCAAAGCATCCTCCTCTTTAAGTAATGTATGTGAATTAGCGCTAACGGGTGATCATAGTCGCATCCCGGAGAGTGATTACATCACCATAGGAACTATTTAAACAGTGCGCGAAAGTAACGTTTCGACCGGGTGAAATGGCGCAATTGGGTGCCAGGTGGTACCATTTTGGAATATGTTTGCGGGCTAGGACTTTTCTTTGACAGCGAAAAATGCTCGTAATGGCTTTCTGCATAGCCCGCCCTCTACCTTGGATCGGATTAGGGTTACTCTAACTTGGACTTGGACCACTTCTTGGATTACATATCAAGTTTTTGGTAGTTTTTCTGTACCTGTAGTACAAACAGGGCTTGGTTAAAGGTAAATTGCGGCGCCATGATAGATACCTAAATCCGATGACAGGAATTGTTGTTTTGAATGCATGTTGATTGTAAACTGTTTCCGCTCACCGGTCAATGCGTTATCACTGTCGCTACTAACGATCATTTCATAAACAACAACCGCTCCATCCTGTTATGATTGACCGGATACGTAACACCGAAAAAAGCCCTGATCGTCATCAGTACAGGCACCGGAGATGAGCAGATCAGAGCCATTAAATAAACGGTAGCGTTGTTCCAACCACACCTGGCGGCTTCCGGCAAATAACTATACGTGTCTCTTGTGTAAGTCAAAACGTTCCCAGCTAACCGGATTGTGTATATCATCGGTCGGCACAATAAAGCGTAACACCTTCTCCAGATATTACTGTGACGCGAATGGGCGTATGTTACAGCGAGGGCAATTGCATTGACAGTGACTGTACCGATTTATAGCTGAGTCATGACAGAAAACTGTAATTCCGAAAACAGCTGCTCATTTCGACTTTTCCGATCCTAATTAAATAGACCCATAAATATGCCGAAACAGATCCGCTAAGTCGATTAAATAGTTATTCGTTAATCATTCATAGCAAGAAGGAACGAGTATGATTGCAATTTTCAGCTGCACGAGGAATTATTGACCAAGGAATGCAGAATAATAATAAATAACTGCAGATTACGCTGAACAGTGATTACATACACTTGAGAACCGAGAGGAGGCTTATTGCATTATTTTCTTAATAATTTCATGCATGAATTCACGTATCCAGAGAAATTCTTAACTGTTGTACGTGCTGGGTTGAGATTAATGTGCTGTAGTATCTGTAGTGTAGTTAGCATCTGCAAATCCACGGAACGTCTTTGTATGTCTCTGTCAACGCCCAGAGCCGAAGAATTATCACTTCGTGTATGGCTGTCCATAAGCCACACCACATCAATGTTTGTGCGTCGGCTTTCTAATTTGTTGTAAATCCGACTTAAAACTGATTAAACCGAAACGTACATTCACGCGAAGATCTACCAGACTTAAAAAGGCGAATTCTACATATGTGGAGCGCATCAAGGTCGTGGATCCGATTATTTGCTTTAATAACATATTATTAGGCAATGGCCATCGAAATGGCATAAAGCGCCAACGCGGACACACTGTTTTACAGTTAAAAATAAATAACCGCTTAATTTATCGGCTACATTGATTACCAAAGTTCTACATATACATTTACCGGTTTTCGTACATCTTTTTTCTTATGCATCAAGTGCCGGTACCCATGGGAAGCGAGGAACTCAGTTAAGGAAAACTACCCTACCGCCACTAGAGTAGTTCTCAACTTCTCATAGCCTTGTGCATCTGTGCTAACTGCTCAAGTTAAATTATAGTGTTTTGCATCTTGAAACATAAAATTGGTGCGTCGTTAGACAGTTAGCAGCGGGATATTTAGTTTTACTGACAATTTGCCTGCCGACTATTGGTCATATAACTGCTCGTTGCCATAAACCATTACTTAATTTTTGAGCTCCCAAAAGTCGCACAACCAAGTATCCCGTAATGAAACGGCTGCGCAACGAATTGTCTGGAAACGAATTGCGTAGGTGGCACATATACCCCGCGACGGAATGTCCCGCGATCACTTGGGCGGTCACGCATACAGCTACGAATGTCAAAACCAGGCAGGAGCGAACTTAGCGTCGGGATATGTACTATCACCGGTAGCATTACGTGTCATACACTCTGTCAACAGCTTAGACAACGGCGCCGTCTAACATGAAACCGGGGAAAATCTGTCTGTGTATGTTATGAATCGGTAAAAATTTAACATAACAGAAACTCTAATGGCAGTTGGCATACATGCTGGGCAACAAGGGATTCTCCGGCGTAAACTCCTTTACTGCATCTCTGCTGCCTGTGTTCCATGTCGACCCGCAGGTGGCCTTAACCGTCACTGACCACGGTTTCGTTCCGAACAGATTGCCAAAGCGTGTGGCCCATTCGCTCCGCTTTACAAACCAACCGGCCAAGTCCTTCATGTCACAACACGTACAGTCCGCTTTATCCCGACACACTGGATTGTGCTGGATATCAAGGGTCACATCGCCATACTGCCGGACATCAAATGTGTCGACGACCTCCTTTGGAACGGATGACAAGCGGCTGTGGTTCAAAGATAATTTTGTGATGTTCATGAGAAATAACGACCCGCTCCGTCGCAGCGTGTGCAAGGGTGGATTCTGCGCATCGGCTTCCAGTAATCTCTGTTAAACGAAAGATACAAAGATCGGCAAAAATGATTTTACTGGGATGTAGTAGTTAATTTCAGATTACCAATGTTTTGGCCACCGTTTTCAAAACACTCCAGTCCAACGTCTGCAAAGCATTGCCGCCCATCCTTAGGATTTCCAGGTCCACAAGGGGCTCGAAAGTGTCAGTTTCAATGGCACTGATGTCGTTGTTGCGAACGTCCAGTTCCCCAAGGCGAGTAAAACGGCGCAGGAAATGACGATCCAGTGTGCCGATTTTGGAATAATGTACCCGCAGATCGTGAAGGCTGGGTACTTCTGCCAGCAGGACGTCAATAGGCGCTCGACCGCCTCCTTCTGCCTGGAAGCCAATCAGCGTCACATGCCACAACCCGAAGCGGTGCGAAAGGGCGGTGGCACCGGGACCAATGGTGTTGCAGTAGGTGCGATTGGTACTGGTGGGGCAGTCGAGGATGAGTGTATTGACGTCGTTATAGATTCGGCTGGTGTTGGAGTACAAGGTTTCTATACGGAAATTCCCTGGGATATATAAATCGGCATGGCTGCACGTTAGTTTATAAGGACCGGAATAGTGGCAGAGAGGGTGCGGGAAATATGGTGCCGTCTGGGGATCACCGGGTCGTGTGCGCCAGCCGCAAATTAATTTTATTAGTAGGATGAGCAGCAGGAAGTACCGCATTCTCTACAACGACGGTTACATTACAAACAGTCCTCACAGTGGAGGCAACACAAAAGCTATGGTCAAGACACAAAGCGGCAGTTTAAATCCCATACGGAGCAGCATTCAAGACTGCAGGCGCAAGGCTTGTTCAGTTCCATATAAAGCAGCACAACATCACCTAAAAATTACCTTTGATTTTTGGATTCCGGTGGTTCAGCGTTCTACTCACGATTTATTGGCTTAAATGTAGAATAAGGTCTTGTAAGGTCTGCGGCCCAACTTCAGTAGCAATGAGAATGGCTAAGTCATTCACAGATATACTCGTACAATCATGTACAGACTACCGTTAAAGTACTAGCTTGTATGTGACTCGTGAGCACATTGGCTTGTAGAGAACGCGTGGTTTCGGGTGCTTCTGTTGAAAGCGGTGTACTGCAATATTACAGTACATTACAGCACTCGCTTCCTACGGTTTCCAGTAACATCAAGTTCCCACGCGCTATCGTTGATCATCCAGGCAAGCATGGTTGTCGGCTTACAAACGGTAACCGCCACGATTTAAAGATGTTTTATCTCTGTGTACTCCTCACTCAGTGCTATCTGAGTAAACATCTGTGGCTGATTACAATCGTACCCTGCTGCAGAGAGGCTCAGCGCAAAAAAAAGTTTAGTGATATGACTCTTTAGAGCATTTAGGATTTATAGACTAGGATACACACTAATTAAAATAATCTCTATTTAAACCATAATATTATAGAATACAGAAACCGGAAGTAACATTAACAGCTGCTGTTTTTTGTTAGCCGTTGCCTTTACTATCTGTCATTTGACTCTTTCCGTGGGTAACCATTTCGCCATATAACACACAATGGTGTACAGAGGTGTCCTCTGTATGGCTTTATAGCTAGCCTCAATAATAAAAAGCAGTTTTTGGAAAAATGTAACTGAAGTATGACAAATCACAATAACTGTTGGTATATATGCCAAGGTGTTTTTCTCCATACTCGTAGTGAATTCACTCATGAAAATACGATGAACTGAATAAATGACGTCATGTCACTACAGTTTGCAGCTATTTTCGTACAACACACTGTACGAAAATACGGCAATTTGAGGTCCGACTACAGGTACTCAATTCTATACCATGCTGACCATTCTCAAGCTAGCACTTGCAGTTCTGTTTCATCGTTTCACGTTTGCTTTCGAAATGGCAGTCACTGTAGTCAGTGTATACTAAATTACCGTAGGCCAAAATGGCAAAATCACCGTAAACTATTCTACAAATTTTCTAGCGCCGAAGTGGTAGTTAAATTAAGTTGTGACCTTTTATATCGTTCCACATGAATCTCAGTGATACGCTGGAAAAAGGTTTGACTCTTGATTCTTGCAACGCTCGACTGCAGCTGAAGGAATGGTTAGCTCATGTGGCCCAACAAGATGCGGGTTCCGTGGATCGTCAGCAAATCGACACGGTAAGCCGATCTGTGTGTGACCTGCCATTGAATTCGGTCGAAGGAAATTCGTCGACCCAACTGGAGCGTCACCAGTCGAACGTACTCGATGCTGACACTTTGCGAACGTTCAAAATTCGCGTTTTACTGAGCCGTCGTTTTGTCGAAATGTGCGTACAGAACACGGAATCAAGTTTAAACTGTTCCATCAACCAACGCAGTAAACTTTCTTGGATTTCTCAATTTTCTTGCGTTTGCGGGTTTTCTGTATATCGATAACGCACCAAACTGACCGTGAGGATGCGAATCTAACTGTTACTTTTGTCGTCAGCTTCTAAGCCCCTTTCCGAAGAACGATGCATGTGTTTTACGAATTCGGGAAGATGCAGCGGACAGCGGATGCTGTGCAGTGTGCAGAGTCGAAATCAGGGCAAGTTGACCAAATTGACGTCGTGCGCTCTGCAGCGCAAAATGGCTCGCGGCAACTGCATGCAGGCCCGATTCCGCTTCCGGCTAACCCGTCACGTCCCCACTAGCATGCACAGTCCCCATTTTAACATATCTTCGGTGCCTGAAGTGGAGCGACTGTGGACGGCAGTGTGTTTTACTTTGTCATTGCAACGATTTCTCATTCTATCGCTTTTGCCTTTTGTGTGATGAACAGTGAAGTAACAGCAATTGAAAATGTGACAACGAATTGGGCAGGGGGAAAGTATGGTACGAGTACCAAACATGTGGCTAGATCGAAAAAGTGAACCGGCATGATCATAATTCAGAAATTCAGTTTCCTTCATTTATTTGTGTTGCTTCGGGAAGCTGGAGCGAAAAATCTCTGTTTATCTACCGTTACACAAATTCCGAAGGAAATTCCAAAACAGGAAATTCCGAAGGAAATTCTACAACAGCAGCTAATGATACCTACCCGTACAAATTCACTAGGTCGTCAGACGGTTCTAAATTAATAGTGCGAAGTCGAAAACAATGTTCGCTATCAAAGCATCCTCGTCTTTAAGTATTGTATCCAAATGTGCACAAATGGTTGATCCTAGTCACATCCCGGATTAGATTACCACAAGAGTTACTAAAATAGTGCGCGAAAGTGACGTTTAGACCGCGTGAAATGGTGCAAATTGGCACCAGGTGCTATAATTTTGGAACATCTTTGCGGGCTAGGGCTTTATCTTTGACAGCGAAAAATGTTCTTGATGGCTTTCTGTATTCCCTTTAAGCTGGAATGATAGATTAGCGGATTAAGCACGCAACTTCCGTACTGCAAACAGGTGACAACAGCAAACAAAGTGTCGTTCCAGTAATCATTAAAATCCACCGCCAAATAGAAAATTATTGCCGGGATGCAGCACACCAGAACACACAAAGCCATTAGTGCAAACAATTTGTACATCCTTCTTTCCGTGGTTTGTGGAGAGGGTGCGTTTCCATGAAGTGCCTGTTTATTGAATTTATTTGCGTTCACCGGAATTAGCACGGTATCGTTAGTTCCCGCTCCAGGCAAATTGTGTACTAGCGTTGCATGGGCTTAAAAGATCAGAAAGTGAACGGTCATTAAAGAAATAATCGTAAAATATCCACAAAAATGTACCATGAGTTCCTTAAACAAAACCCGACGCTTTTCAGACATGTGCTTTTTGTATGCTTGAGCAAACATGCTGTACTAAATATCATGAATCGGTATCAACTTTTCACTGTATGACGCTTACCGGCGGTGCTTAATCCTCCAGCTGGAAGAACTTGCTTGTGCGGTGAGCGCAGTGAACGTTGGAAAATCTTCGGGAATATTGCCACATAACTTAATACGACAATAACCGGTGGAAAGTCGTACGCTAGGAACTCAAAAGTTAGTGAATAAGAGCGCTGGGCATAATAATTAACGGAACACGGTAAGGTCAGGGGGTTGTACCAGAGTGAATCCATGACAATGTACGGTGTAATTAACACAACCAGGAACAGCCACATTCCAGCGCACGTTACGCAGGTAGTCTTAACTGAGCGAACATTCCGATAGAAAACTGGGGTAAAAACTGACAGCAATCGGTCGATACTGACCAACGCGACCGAGTAACCAGCGCCAATCAACAGCAGATGGTCAAGGAAATTGTAGTATGGACAGTATGCCGCGCTGGATGTCGGGGACAGCGTGAACCACACGAAACCGGTCATGCCAAAGATGGCTAGGCCGCAGTCGCACAACGAGACGTTCAAGAGATAATACGTAAAGGGATTCCGTACAGCGGCATCTTTAGCGAAAGCAGCTATAAAAAGAAAGTTATAACCGATGGTACTTACGCAGATAACCAGCACGACTGTTATAAAAGCGTATGGTGTGGAGCTTTCTGGAGAGTACGTTGCGTTTTGAACGGTCATCGTCGAGCGGTTTACATTCAGATGAGCTGGATCGTTCATGGCTGAAACCACGTTACTTGTTCCCAAAGTACAGTTTTTAGACAAATGCAGAATCTGTCTTGATTTCTGTGTAAATGATCATTAAAAGTAAGGGAATGTAAGCAGGTGCGACATTATTAATCTGCAACCTCGTTGAAAATACCGTAATCGGTAAGCCGCATATCCGTGGACGTGTTGCATTTGATGAAGCATATTTCCTGCAGCTGTCCTCCGTTATGGAAAGCAGGTGGTCCATGCCTAATGTGTGTACTCTGTAGTTGGCCATGCGCAGTGGACATTGCGGGATTAGATTTTTGGAATTAATCAATTATGTACACAGCGAAGGAGAAGGTGAAATAATCCACAAGAGGCTCGAGTCATCATTTTCAAAAAAGCCGTTAATTTTTTTCTATTAACATTGAGCTTGCACGCGTTTTAGTAGTCAGTCCAAACCGGATGCAAATCTTTTCTTCAACATTGGCTTATAAATGTCCGGCTATTATAGTACTTATTGTAGTGCGAACGATTATAGTATGTTTTAAAAGGACGCTTTTTGGGAGACATACTGCGTTTTTTTAGAACTCACCATTATTCCGCCAAAACTGTGAAGTCTGTGGGTGCGCAGTGCTGCTGCATTATTATTCTGTAGAATACATAGATCGGAAGCATTTTAGGCTTAAAAATATCACGACAAGGTCGCCACCAACAGAACTATTATGGAAATATTAGACCCCGTTAAAACAAAGCAAATGCGCTAAAAGCAAAGCAAAGCAAATGCGTTAAAGCAAATGCGTTTCTCTGACATGTGTACTCATACTTTAAGATGTCGCGGAGATCCGACGTTTGCTACAAGGTACAGATAGCTACAAGCAAGTGGTCCAAACTGGATTAACAATATTAATATTGTTACCTTAATTTCGTACCACATGGTAACCACATTGAAGTATTAACAAAAACGTCAGAATAAATATGCTGGCGTTTTTATTAGGAAGGGTGATCACAATCTTTTGCACAGTTTATTGTAGAACCCTGCAGATTTAAATACGTCCAAATGCGATGTACAGTATTACACAAGCGTCTTTTGCAGAGTTTTAAGCCTTCATATCTTCCCTGGAGGGATATCGAAAATGCGATTACTTCACATACGGTTCGAAGAATACCTTTCGGTTTACTGCCAAACAGTGGTGCAAACTACATAAATTCAAAAAATGTCTTTCTGCTTAAACTGGTAAAGTGCTGTTGTTGTACAGCACCCTTTCAATTTACAAGGACCAGATGTTCTTAATTATGTGATCTTTTGACTTACAAAACTCAAATTAATTTCTTTATTCTGAGTTCTGACTAACAAATTCAAGTTCGGAGCCTGAGGAAAAGTGTTTGACAATTATTCGTAACTGATGAGTATAGTTTCTTTTGCCACGGTCGTGTAACGAAAAGATGGTACGGTTGTTTCGCAATTACTTACTGTGTAAAACACCATTACGGGAGTGTTGGAAGCGTGTGCTTGACATTCGATAGGCACAAAACTACCGGCGCGAGTATTCCAACGAAACTGCTGTATTACAATACTGCGACCCGGAAAACCACAGCTATGACAAACAGTCCGTCTGGTAAGACGCAGTGTGGTAAAACCACCTGAGCGGAAATCCGGATGCACTTCATAGCACTAAAATGTGTCTACAGCAATTGTCTACAGTGATTACGCAATTTGGCTGCGTTGCGGTTATACAATAACCGTAAAAAACACAAGCGCATTTTTTAGTTATTGACTTATTGTGATAATATGTGTGAACCTATGGTGTCAGATTCAATGCCAATGTTAATTGCTGGTAAATGCTAATGTGAATTGTTGATATGGGTTAAAATTTAAGGGATTGCGTGTTTTACCGCAGTTTCTCCAGGATCCTCAAGTGCTAGAGAAGGCTGTGGTCACTGGTTACTGAAGAGTGGAAAAAATGAATAGGCGATTACAACAGAAAGGCAGTTTTAAAGGTGGTAGCGCATCAATCAGCAAGAATAATATAGTGCGTTGTAGTCGGATGTCGTCCTAATGCGTTCGTAGTTTCCCCGTTGTATTCCAAATAATCGCCATACTTTCTATTTTTGCTTACGACACAACGACTCGACCCATGGCGTTTAATAACACTTCCACTATAAGAGGGGATCCTTTTACAATGGACACCAGAAACAACGTCATTATGGTGCTCATTGTAGCGAATATAGCTCCATTCCATCTCCTGTACACACTGTTGTTTGCATCGGTGTTTTTATCTGCGAAAAGACTAATTACCCCCTTTAACATCTGTATTATCAACATTTTGCTGTTGTACGTCATCAGTGCAGGTCTTCATTCCATAACGCACTGGCACTTGATTACAATATACCATAACTGGACAGTACGTTGATTCGTAGGTATATAACGTGGTGCGTTGCGGTTAGGTATGCAGTGACCGCAAAAAAACGCAAGTAGGCGTTCTTAGTTATTTGATAACATGTGTGAACCTTTGGTGTCTATGCACATATTTGCGATCTCTCCAGATGGATCGTTACTCCCGCTGCCGGCGCCGGGCACATTCTGCTGGCGATTAACCGGATCTGGGCGGTGACCTTTTTCGGTCCTACCGCCTTAAAAACAACCGGATCGTGGCCGTGGTGTCGTATGTGCCGATGCACATGATAGCGGGTGGTACTCGATTACCGAATTTTATTTTCAGTGTGCTAACGCCGTCTCAAAACGGCAGCGTTTGCCGACAATCAGAGGAAATCTATCCGGCTCTGCTCCTTACAGTGCGCGCTACCTTTCCACGGCCACTTAGGTGGTTATATTTGAATCGCTGCCGTATGTCATGATAATGCGACGGATTCAAGTTCGTCGTACCGTCTCCGTAACACCGCATACGCTCAATATAGAATTAGATAAATTATGTACGTGCTTCCTTTTAACGTGTACTGCGTGGAAAAGTGCATGTGTGCGCATTGAATATGCCCCTTCTGCACACTGCCTGTTCATTTTATCATAAAATTTTTATTAAACCACGACTGATCGACAGGCTGACGCCCAACCAATTGTTCAGAAAATGCTTGAGTAGGCAGTAGTCATAAAAAGTTGAAGTGCGAGCGCGGGCAGTCAATTATTCAGTAATATTCGTGGTTAGCATTTAATACATTCCATGCAAGAACAAAGTGGTTACCGCAATGGAGCAAGTAACAAGACCGGTGGCAAAAAAAACTTATTCTGATGTTTACATCCCCGTCTACGTCCAGACAACCGTCGACCAGCTTTTGCAGTGTTGTGGGATAACGGCGAACGCTATCAGATTTTGCACTTCTTCCTTCTCTTGTTTATTGCATCCGTAAACCTAGCGGTGCATGTTACTGTGGCAGAAAACGTGAGAACATACGCTCACCATCTCAACACGAGCTTCGAAACAACTCAATGTTATCGATCAAAGTTTCCAGGATAATGCAGAAACCGGTTACGTCAACAAGAGCAGCAAAAGATCCTCCAGCTAGAAGGCATAACAAGTTTCTAAACAAAGATATCAAACAAAAATCATCAAGGAACTGCCGAACCTACCAGGAAACATTGCAGTTGTTACTAAAGCGTGATATGAGTAGCGCTTTTGCTTTGATGTTTTCTTTGTAAAGACAGCCAACAGAAAAACCAATATCAGCAGTCAATCGTTCTCCGCATATATGCTTAAATTTTGTTGAATTTATAGGATTCAGTTATCAGTTTGCCGCAAAACCACTTCCGCAATGCATCCATCCCCACTTAAGATGACTTCCTTCCTACTTTTTTTGGTTTTTGATTTTGTCAGAGGTGTGTACATACCGGATGTAGCGTTGGTTCAGTTTTATCTATGGGGCGATAAGACGCCAACCAGTCTGCAGTTCGCAGCTCCCGTGATGGCTAAGGGAGAGGACGATCTCGCACCGTACAAGGATTTTCTGAATATAACCAGTGTCCTCATCTACGACCGCAATGTGACGACGTGCGACGGGATAAACCAAAAAGCAGCATTCTGGGCTACTCGTTATTATTTCCATGAGGCGGTCGGAAATCCAGTTATGGCATTTTTTAGCCCCGGTAATATTCAGGAATAATATTTCAAATTTTCAATGCCATGCCTGATGTTAGAAAATTGTTGTTTCGTATAGGATGCTCTTCTGCAGCGTCATCTCTGGCTGCTCTGGCAAGATGTAAGCTGCATATAAAATACAACATATAACATTGCACTCGATAAAAAGCCAGATTTACGTTTGAACTTTGAGCTGCTCACAATTTTAACCACTTTTGCTAAGTCTTATTAATGGATTTTGTTGTATACCGGCGAGTTGACGCACCTAAAGCCATACAAATACTTATGGTTATGCACTAATAACAAGCGTGTATTTTTTTGCAGCTTTTAATAAACCGATGCTGGCTACGTGAGTATTTGAAGTACTCGTGAAAAAAGAATCTGACCGTGGATAAATCTTTATCTTGGATACGTTTGTAAAAACCGGGTTTGGTTTAGCGGTTAGTTCGCAGTAAATCTGAGCTGCTATCTTTCTTTTTAGCACATGGGGAGACGATTCTACTTTTTCCAATAAGAGGCGTTTCCCAACACTAGCCAATTTCTCTCCGTATATCGACTACAGTCTGAGCATGTTCATATTCAGACTGCTAAATCACTTCAACTACAACACTGTGGGGATATTGTGTGATGATGCCAACGACAATTTGTCCCTTTATATTCCAATGTGCTCAAATGTGTTCGATTCACTTCGTCTAACGTATAATTTCAGCGCGAGCCGGTTTTACGTGAATGCGACAGACGAAAACAATGTGAAACATTATCTTGAGGAGATTAGAGCTGTAGCTCGGGGTGAGCAAAGTGATTTCATGTCCGCTCATCCTTCTCTGCTCTATTAGGAGTTGTGAATCTTTTGTGCAGTTGTCATCATTATTGCCCACGGTGACCGGATTCGTTCAATCATGGTAAAACCATCGCCGCAACATTGTGATTGATTACTGTTGTGATAAAGGCGTTTGATGCATTTTCAGCTGGCAGCATCCGATAAGCAGATGACGGGGGGCGATTATGTGAGTACATCGTGCTGAATTTAATTGCATTATGAAAGCTGTTACAAGCATGCAGACACAGTGCTCCAGCTGTGCACCCTAGTTTCCGCTAACAACCTCAAAACGTGTTGAATTGCAGGTTTATTTCACAGTTGAGCTATTTCCAAGCGCAAGATATTTCGGCAGTATTGCCTGGAATACCGGTGATGCCGATGAGCGTGATGCGGTAAGGATGAACTGGAAGAAAGGTCATCTGCAGTTGTTGACTTTTCAGCTTTCAAACATTGTCGCTGCAAAGATCTTTTGCGCAACAACTAGTATAATTTAGCCCCTTCATTACTCTTCAGGATGCCCGAACCGCCTTCCGTTCCCTCTTCAAAATATCTCTCCGCAGTCCGGATGCCACGCCTGAATACCGTAATGTTACTGATGAAATAAAAATGCTGTCAAAAACAAGATTTAACTATACATACGCCCCTGGAGAAGACGTAAGCTGAACTGAAACAAATCAACAAAATGCGATGATTTTTGTCATCTCACCGGTCAATCAAAAGCATACAGCAAGAATACGTTAATGACCTACGTGTTCTGTTGCCTAAAAGGTCAATCCATTCGCCATGGCGTACTATTACGCCCTCGCTGTATACGCGCAGGTAATGCATTGCGCCAACCTGTCTGCTTTCAACAACATTGCAGTTATTAGTGTTAATTAAAGACGGTTGTTGGAGTTTGCAGTCGACTGACACATTTATGGCAGCAAAAGCACCAAACTGAAGATATTTATTGTGTTTCTAGCGATTATGTTGCCCTTTCAGAAAGGGCCTTTCTGATAAATCGAACACATGCCTTGTAGGTGCTAAACCAAACCATAGCGTTTGGAGAAAATCCAAATGACGGAGCTAATACGAGCAGAACCATGAGGAATCGCACTTTCACCATATTAGGACATGATATCACCATTAACGATAACTGCGATCGCGAGGCGGATTGGACACTCCACCAAATGGATGCTGAAACTGGAATGTTTATGGTACATTAAAACCTACTCGTACCCTGAGACCATTGCTTGAACGGCGATTTTGCTGGAATCTTTTTAGAGCAGCAGAAATTATCAAAAGGAATACGTTGTTCGTTTATCGCTAAACGTTTTGTTAACTGTGCTTCAAACATATGTAATTAAAATTAATTTTTTAGCCTGTGTTGGAGTATCCTGCCAAGCGTAAAGTCCTGGAACCTTCTCGTGACCCAGTGGAGCACAGCGTCCGCGAGATTGTTTGGTACAAGCGTGATAGTCCGCCTCCTAACGAACCGAAATGCGGCTATCGTGGAGTAAAACCGGCATGCAAACCTACAGGTATGTGTACCAAAACTACTTAAGTCATATCAATTAGGTAACGCGGTACTCTCAATTTAATTGGCTTTCAGAGCAGCGTTACCAATACGAGCAGCTGGTGGCCGCTGTCGTGAACTTGTTTGAAGTGATCAGAGGAATGATGGCATAATTCTACTGTCTGGCTTATCACTTCCTTGGATTTCAAGGAAAATAATTTCTTCATTTAATGAAGTTTGTAAAACAGCGGGAAAAAAAGGTGAAAGGCTCCACAAGAGGTTCAACATTAACGTTCAAAAAAGCAATCGATTTTTCTTCGATTAACTTTGAGCTTGCACAACGCTTTCGTTAATATATACCGGGCGCAAGCCTTCTCTTCAACATATTATATAGGCGTGTAAATTGTCTGACTCTTTTAGTTTCGTTTTAAAAGAGCAATTTTTAAGAAAAACATTCTTTTTTTATAACTTGGCATTATTCATAACTGTGAAGTCTGCGTGTGCGTACTATAATACGCAGAATACAGAGACCGGAAGTAGCCCCGACAGCTGGACATGTATAAGTTTCGTTAATAATTTGCAAAGTTTCGTTGTTTTTTGTTAATCGCTTCATTTGCTATCTGCCATCTAACTCGTTCCGCGTAAAACCATTTCGCCCTATAACATGCGAGTGCTTTAAAAATTAATGCTTTAGTTAGCTTCACGTACAGATACTATACAATTTCAAACTATGTATGAGAAATATATTTCGTTTTGCTGATACAGTAGTATGGCTACCAAGTACTTTTAGAAAATATTTTCATCAGTTTCACCAGTGAACGTCTACCCACACTGGCCATGCACCAGAAAAAAATTCGGTAATAAACCCCTGCAAACTTCTTTCGACGTTTGGGGAAGATATACTTCGCTCCTGGTTGGCGATACCCTGGGTTGAGGTTTATAGTGGCCGTGGCAGTACGTGGACGCATGACAGAATAAACGCTTATCACATCGGAGATGGCCAGTAAAATATACGACCACTTCCTGATCCAATCTTTCGCCGTCATTTAAACCGAAACAGGGTTAACTGACACACTGCTTTACATCGATGACTTCGACTAGCACCTATTAGATCCTGACTGTCAGTGATAAAATATGGATGTGCACGACGAGCTGTGCAAAATCATACCGGCACCTGCAGATATCGTGTGTACCGTACAATTGATGATCGACGCCAAAACCAATCAATAAAACAACGTCGAAAGTCCGTAATCGGCTTACTCGGTTAATTACGGTCAAACCATATCCAGCCCATGATACAAAAATTAAGACGGACCGTACAATCAGCTCCTGTCGCACGTAATCACTTAGTAGACCATATGCAACCGGATCGAATGATAGAGATGCTTTGTGGATGTTCCGGGTTGCTGGGTTTGCCATGCTCGTTTTCGGTGTATTCGCAGTACACGAAACGTTAGTCGATAATTACGATAATTAACTTACAAGTTGGCCTTTCCGGAGCATTCGACTCAAGGAAATGTTACACGACAGGTTAATTAGAGCCAAAATTGTGATGGACAGTTGCACTTAAAGCAAGAGTCGCTTTTGGTTTTTTCGTCCAAAGCTCGTACGTATTCTCCAAGCGTACTTTTATCGCTCGAATGATAACCGCTCAAAAAACACATAATGTAAAAGCACATACCGTATTACTTACATACTGTATCTGTACAGAGTACGGCTTGTGAGCGCAAGAAATACTTACTGTACCGATAGCTACCAGTTTGCCGTAGGTGTGTGCTGCAGTTTGTGTCTCACTTCACAGCCTAATTAAATGCCATAAAAGTTAGTCTGAAAAACTGAACCCCCCAACCCCCCCCCCCCTCCAGTACAAGCCCAATCCCGTAACTGGAGCCTTGAGGTGATCGAGATATTTGTAACCTTCTAAATCGATAATTACGGTAAGTTTGGGTATGGTCCGTCTCACGCTAAGTGGAAGTGTGGAGCTGCATTTTTATGTGCTAATAGTTATTGTATTACAGTGAAGTTTTTCATACATGAACTGACCCAAATAGTGTATACATCGAAAAGTAAAACGTAGATTAACCTTTCACTGCAGTTCATAAATCGGGCTTACCTTTTTTATTCTTTCGATAAGGTGCAGTATGAGGTCAGGCAATGTAATATAAATCTGAACCATTTTAAGCACTTCCTTTATCCTTTAGTTATTGAGACGTTGGGAGAATTTGGCCCCGCTCTGACTGAACTGTTACATTTCATGGCTGCCGTAAAAATTCGAGACTTAACTAAAGAAGTGCGTTCTATCTGTACTACGTACTTTCCTTAACCAGCGCTTTAGTCTCGCCGTTGTTAAAGGAAATGCTACGGCTGTTTTAAGCACGTTACCTTTTAAGTTTTAACCCAAGAGAAGATAGAGATTTTGGTTGTTTTTTTAATGTTTAAATTTTGACTATCAAGTAGTGTACCGCCGCTTGCAATCATTATTGTCTGGTGGCTTTTGCCTATTAAAGTAACAATTTTAAGTAGCATTACGCGAAGGCATTTTTTTGTTATAGTGATGGCCTTTGCCCAATAAAGGCAAAAGAAATGAACAGTACTTACGATTAGTATTCAATATATTCTTATTCTAATTTCAGCGCATTGCTTTTGGTGGGAATTTTCAGCTTTTTATTATTCATTATAGTACTACTGGAAATCTAACATCACGCGGGAATACCAAGGAACTACACAAACGTCATAAAAACTATAACTCACAGAAAACAATTTATTCCAATAAAACATAATTATATTAAACCATGTTGTACGGGACAATAAAGCGTACGCCGTTAGGAACGTTGAAGCTGCTGTTAGTGCAGTGATGTTAAGTTGCAAACCGGCTCTTGGCAAAGACTATCTGTAAGTTAGTCCCATCCGCCACCATCGCCGCGACCGTACCAACCGCCGCCAAAACCACCTCCATACCAGCCCCCATCACGGCCGTCCGGTGCGGCCTGGGCTCCCCCGAAGAATAGTCCTACAAAACGATACAGTCGTACTACAAAATGGACACAACGCTTAATCTGTGCTCGCAATACAGTTTATCAAGACGGATAATTACATATTACCTACAATCCTTCTGAATAATACAAATATGCCGGGCTTCAACCATCGACAGCTCTAATAACGACTCAGAATTCTGTGCAAATGAAAAAGCCAACGCGGTATGAATTTACGGGATCTACGGTATGCCACTACTGAATGCTTGGAGACAGATTCCATGATAAAAAATTTTGAGGGTTGCGGCATTGCGCAGTGAAACATTGCGCAGTGCAACAGAAAATTTAGTAGCATCACACTCCACGCACACTTGCGTTAAAACATAATATAATATTACGGGACTGTCAACGGTTTACCTAGAAAAATAGATGATACTGATACAGATAGACGTTAATACCAAGTTTACGTTTTATTTCGGTACCATTTCATTTAAAAATAACAGCGCAAGTAGAACGGTTTTATTTACGAGTATGGAATTACGAAAAAAATTACAATCGAAACTTTACATATACGCGATGAAATTACAGACAAGTACTATATTATAGTATTATACAGCACAAGTATTATAACCGAGCAGCGCTATATGCATAAAGCAGGCATAATGAAGAACTGCACTGTACATGTATAACGCAACTTACCTAGTAACATCAACACAGCCAACACAAGTATTTCTTCCAGCTTCAACATTTTCCTTCCGTGTAATTCAACTTGTATACCCGCAAAAACATTTACACAGGGAGGCATACCGCGACGTTCAGGGTCTTATATACGCTTTGACCGGGTGGTCTTGAGAAAACGAAAATTGTCCTGGTCATCCTGATTCGTTGTGTCCCACATGGATATGTCAGCTGAATTTCAGTTAAGTCTGAAGTATTCCCACTTGGTGTACAGTATATACCGGCGGAATTTCGGTTTGGATGGCGGTATGCAAACTTGGCGGTGTGACGTGCGTATCTTGACAGTGCAATGCATAGTGACAAATAAAGCAGTAACAGGAACTTCAGTTTACAGTATACCGCTTATGCTGCGAACTGCTAGAAAGTCGAACGGGTGTAATTTTCCTGCTGTTCACTCCGGTGAGTCCGCGATAATTTGACATATGCCGGTAACTGGAACTGTGACTTACGTTTTTAAGTCTTCGTGTAAAGGTATACTTACCACATTCAAATTTGTAACTGCAGTTTTACATGTATGTACATTATAATTTTTTTATTTACGTGTATGTACATTACATATTACTACTGGCATCCGGTTTTGGGTAAAAGTATTGTGGTTCACAGTTTAGTATTCCAGATGAAACAGATACAGTGTTTAAACTGATGAATCTTTAGTGAGGCCGTGGTTATGTTTTATAAGTGTCCCTACTGTCGATTAAATACACGAGTACAAGGTTTCGGTTCGTTTTTTCATTGTCGTTACTTATTGGGGGCAATGTCTCAGAGCTGTCGTAATAAATTGCCTAATATGGCGTACTTTTGAAAGCCGTGTATGAATACTACTCGCGTAAGAAGTAAACACCAACGAGTCGAATAGCAACAGATGGTATACAATACCGTAATTTGACCTCGTCAAACATCCGATCACTTTGCCTGTATATAGTGAGCGGATTTGCGCATTCGGATTTGTTGCCGGCCAGAACAACTCAAATTACAGTAGTTTCGCTTAAACGTAATTTTCTCCACAGAAAATTATTCAGAAACCATGTCTTCCAAATTCTGTGAAGTGCTTTGTAATCTGTTGGTTTTTTGTACCTAACTTGTTCGATTTAGTGAAGGTCAACGAATTTCCGCTGACCAACAAAATGCCGAGTGAACTGATCGAGGAGAACCGTTACCCCCGTTCTGGTGAAAGCAACTGAATTTTTTCTTAAAGACCACAATTAGGCGCCGTCCTGGAGAAGTCTTGGTGCCGGATTTTCAAAAAAAAACACACTATGTCATTATTTTTTTTATTCCACACTCCACTCTTTTTTTTTAGTCCAAGTGTGCACCCGTATCAAAATATGCCTTGCGCCAAAATAATTAAAACAATTAAAGCCACGATGGTTGGCACTGTTCAGTATATCTCATCATCGCATTTGCGGTATAAAATTGAGTACATGTTGCCGTTGTCCTTCACACCGCATATTAAAGCACTACAACTTTTTCACAGAACAAAGCTTAACAATTAATGAGCCTGCTTTATTTCCGTTTGAATTTATTCGATATCATAACAACTGTACTGACAATACAAGCTTCTGACGAATATTCAACATCTTCGCAGGTTCATTTATATGTCAGAGTTATAAAAAAGCCTATCAATGGCAAGCTGCGGAATCACTAGCGTCAAAGGTCACGCACTGTTTCAATACATATTATTCTCCATTATGCTCTGTATGGATTGCGGTATTGGATGTGGGTGCCGATGGCTTGAGGGTGTTCAATCCCAGTCCCCACCACGAAAGCCTCCCATGGGATAGCCCATTCCCATGCCGCCCATTGGCATGTAGCCGCCCATTGGCATATAACCGCCCATTGGCATGTAACCGTAACCGTAGCCGTCCGCGCGCAGTTCACTGATCAGAAAGCCTATGCAAATGGCAGACATTATAACCTTCATATTGTAACCCGCATTTTGTCAACATACGTATCTCGACTTTAAAGTAATATTATTATTATATGTACTGTAATATACGTTTTAATGGGCAAAAGCCACCAAACAATAATGATTTCAAGCGCCGGTACACTACTTGATAGTCAATTTAAACTTTAAAAAAACAATCAAAATCTCTTATCTTCTCTTGGGTTAAGGTATGTAATTATGTAATTACAGCTTCGATGTATGTACAAACCCGGTGACTCGTTTTCTGCATGAAGGTTCAGCGAGAAATACAGATTCATGGGTTACGCTAGGCTCTGTACCACGCCACGCTCTTTACGGGTTACGTGCATTTGGCATGGCTGCTTCACGTCAAATATTTGATATCTTATAATACATATAAACAAATTTATCGTATATATCAGAGAATTTATTAATTGAATTTATTCATCGCAATAATTCTAATAAATGTAGAAACTGTAACTTAATTAAGCATATCGCGTAACGTCCCTTACCGATCATAAGCAGCACCGCCATGACAAAGGTCACGTGCGACAGCATGTTTCTCGGTGAGCAGATAAATATTCGAGTTTCCGATTAAAAAAATCAAAAATTACTTTTTCAGCACTATTAACCGGAAACTGTCTGGTATCTTTATCTACTGACAATTATACAGTATACCAGCCGTCACCCGATAATGCTTATCCCGCACATCAACAACGGTGAATTTTTCGAGCATGTGATACACTTTCCAAAAGTGTCATCCATTTTTAACCCGCTCAGCAAAGCTGTTAACGGCATGACACTTTAGTCGGCAGGAATTTCTGGCTGTGAATGCTTTATGTTGGGTGTTTCGAGTGTGCGTGTGTGTGGACGTATCCGTCTTGCTTTCCACTAAACATCTCCAAAACTGACAAAGTCCTGACTTGCATAAAATGGATGGATGTCATTATGTGGCTAAGCGGAAATAATTATTGTACACATACATTTATTGTTAGGAGTACTCAGTTTCATGTTACGCTGATCTGAATTCTTTAATGTTCCTGCAAAAATTGTTACCTTTCGGCATCCCCATAGAAATTTCTCGTACGACAAAGACGACAATAAGGTCGGAATTAATTCGGTATATGTATTCATGGTACCAGCTATTGTACGATTTCGATGTACGATACACTCTCAGAAACTTCCGTGCTGTGCATGTTAGTGTATTTCGTACATATACAAATCGGGCGACAAAATATTATTATAGCCTTTACAAAAACTGTTGCATAAATTCAGTGTGCAAAAACACAAAAAAGCTGTGTAAAAGTTGAGTTCGCCAAAATTCTCAGAATGTTCACGTATTTGGCATCGACGTATCGTATACCGGGTCAGTTCCCTTACACGGTACTGTACAGTGTACAATTGTACCGTATGTAATTAATTTTTTGTGCAAAACTTTACATGCAGTATTTATTCAAAATGCCCAATATTTTTGTCGCTTGCAGTTAATAGTAATCTTAGTTATTCTGTAATGCTAATTATTAGTAACTACCGAAAACAAATACGACTTTTCTGTGTATTTTTGTAATATCGTACGACAATTCAGTTAAGTACTTACTGTGGTTATGATAAAAAATAGAAAAAGTTTCCTATTGATAATGATAACCCGAATTTTTCCTAAAAGTTTATTTATCGATTATCTATAGGCAACTGGTAACTTTCCATATGATTAGTGCGCTCGTTAAAGCAGTAGTACCGCCCGTCAAGCGGCATAAGTTTGCATGAGAAACTCTGCTGAATAAAACCCGGCAACCAACAAATTTTTCTCAGGGCCCAGCCCCAAATTTTTTTTCCAACCAATTTTCAAGACATAAAAAATAACAGAAGGACAACAAAAACTCTTCCCGGCATTCGGCAGTCTCATCAGCGCGCGCGCGTCACATAAAGCCCAAACAAAACAGCCAAGCCATCCGCCCGGAGAACGCAGAATCGAATCAAACAAAGAAAAAAATACAATCCGCCCGGAAAAAGGAGAGAAAACACAACTAAAACCGCGAAATTTTCTACTACAATTTTACCAATCTATTCCACGAAAAGACACGCTACATGCTAAACACATATTCGTATAAACAAAACGGTGAAATCGGCGCCGACAACCACGAGAGATCAAACGACCGCCACACCTATTTTACCCTACTATGTACATACTTCACTGCACGTTAAAAGCGCTCTGTTTGAACAGAAAAGTGAAAAACTAAAACCCTACGACACTCTTCCACATTTTCTCTGTTTTGTGCGTGCCAATCACAACTTGAGGTTATCCATCAGGCTGCGGACGTAGGCCTCATGGATCTTCATCACGAAGTCGCGATCATTGCGCAGCAGCCACTCCATGGCCTGCAGCAGCTGCTCCTTACTCAGCGGATTCACGCCCACCAATCCGTTCTTCAACGGGCCACTGCCACCGCGTTCCACCGGTTTGCCAGCGGATTTCAAGTCCTCCATCGCCGACGGCAGCAGCAGCGCCTGCCGGCCGTTATGCTCGAAATCATCCGGGGGACGCAGATCGGCGCCGGATCCTACAACTGAATTTCCACATAAATCATCAGGAAGATTTAGTTATTTATGACACGTAATATGTAGCATTCCTGGCTCACTGCTGACGATTACTTACATAATTACACAACTGAATAAAGATTTCATTTAGAGCACTAATTAGTAATTACCAATTTGTTGCAGGGACCGGGGTTGTAATCCCTTTGACAACGGCAATCGTAGTTTAATGGCTTTAATGTCGTTGTCTAAACGTACGAGCACAACGAAGCTCCGATTAATTAGGAAATTTCTAGAACTTTTAAATGCTATCGAAGCCGTTATATTTTTCTCGAGACGGGCTAGCACTGCAATACTCTAACTGGCTGAATATGTAGACTGAAAACGTTCATCAAGTTATGAAGAAATAATAAAAAAGAATTATATCCTTGCAGTTGCGTCTTATAAATAATTATTATTATCGACTTGATATCTACAATTATTTCACAAAATTAAAACACTCAAATGCTGTACTATTAATGGTTCCACAGCTTCTTCTACGACATTCTAGAGGTAATTACGAACTCCGAAATAAAAAAATAATTAAGCATCTTAAGCAACAGAGAAAATCAACGAGCAACCCCGATGAAAACGCAAAAACCTGAGAAAATCGTCACAAAAACTGCACTGGGCGATAAAATATGAAACAAAAATTGGTATGACTAATAATCTTTATAAACTGTAAAAAAACAACGAAATAATCCACGGTATTTTTTAAAAAAATCTTTAACAACAGTAAACAGATATTCAAAACAAAGAATCTGTTTCCTACGAAGTGTGAATTTACTAATGAACCGTTCTTCACAAATAAATTAATGGAAAACAAAAATCTACATATATTAATCCAGATATCTGTTTACCTTCAAAGACACCGGGCGCCACCAGCAGCGACTCCTTCACCGCGCTGCGACTGAAATCAAACGGCTTCCCGCCGCCCATCTCCGCGCCACCGCGCCCATTGACCAGCTTCCCCCCGTCGATATTATTCAGCTTCTCCGTCAGCATCCGCGCAAACCGAGTATCCTCCGAATCGCCCAACGAGTCCCGTCCCTGACTCCCCACACTGTTCATACTCACATCCAACACGCCCGGCGGGGCCCCGTTATTCTTCACCGGCGACACTTCCGCCACCACCGGGGCCTTATTCAGCCGCAGAAACTGCTTAAGATGATCCGACGCTTGGAAATCGATCTGCGGCGACGAGGAGGAATGGTGGATGGGAGCGGAGAGGGGCGGCACGTGCGGACCGACCGTGGGAGAAGGTAGGAGATGGTTGAGTTTTAGCGGCGGCAACGGCGACACCTGCCGGTGCAGGGGTCCCACGGGGATGGCGGTGCGCTGTGAGGAGGAGGATGAGGAGGAGGTGGATAAGACGGCCGGGTCGCTCAACGGCGGCGCCGACTCCACGGGATGCGAAGTCTGACGGTTGAACTGCAGGATAACCAACAAAAGATTAATTAAGTGCGGCAATGGGCCACCTGCTCTGGTTGCAATTAAAATATAAAATTACATCCAAACCGTGACATACTCGTACTATATTAAATATATTTTCCATTACATATAAATATATTTTCCATTTTCCATTACATTTTTCCAAATTACATCCAAACCGTGACATACTCGTACTATATTAAATATATTTTCCATTATATTTTCCATTATATATTTTACCAAGCAAATTTTCGATAATTATCATTAAACAAGTCTCCCTACAATTATCGAATCAACAATCAATTTTCAAATGCTGTGCCATTTTTCTGTGATATTTTTTTGGAATTAGAAGTCGGATTTTTGAAATTAAATCATTCCGCTGCACTGTACTGTTGTCTGAACTTCCTGTTTTGGACAAATTCAACGTATCTGACAATACGAATAGACTACAAATATTTTAAAATTAGAGAAGAAAAAATGATGAATAGTAATAAATTTCTAAGGTAAAAATCAAAAGGAAACACAGTAGAGAAATGAAGTACAGCTAAGTGCAGCCGTTAGCCGCTCGCAAGCGCCCCACTTCAAACTTCAAAATGAAAATTGAGCAGAATAATGATGGGAAAGCAAAACTGCCAACTGGCCGCGAGTGTAGGTGATTCACACGCTGAACGTACTCGTGTCAGCCTCTGAATAATGCCAACAAAAACAAATCAACAGTTCACCGCAAACAGCGTACCAGAACAAACTACCAAGCAAAATACCAAACGTACTCGCTTGTTAAATAAGCAACGGTACAACCGTCGCCTCTGCTATCTAATGCAGCTCAGATTAAAATTCAGTACACAGCTTACACCAAAAGCCAAACATAAAACAATTAAAAAAAATAAAGTATATCATCAAGTTACATTATCAAAATCATTATCAAAATTACATTACATTATCAAAATACATTATCAAAAATACATAGGTACATTATCAAAATAAATAAATACATTATCAAAATACATTATCAGTAAATACATTATCAAAATCAGTAACTCGACGTAAATGACAAATAACGGCTAATCAAATTAGAATAATCAAATTAACGCATACACAAAAGTGACTAAACCGAGAATTATTTAGTGAATAAATAACAGATAAACTAATACAATATCAAAACAAAAACGAGTAAATTCCGTAGAGGAAATTAACAAATTATTTCGGTTTACTGATTATTCCGTTTGATGCGTTTATTATAAGCGCATCACAAGTCCATACAACCTTAACAGCCACAACGAGCGCCCACGCAACGTACCTCTGCGCGTTTCGGTCCTCCCACGGGTTTCTTCCCGCCCATAACGGCCTCCGGACCCTTGCCCGGCTTTCCGTACACCTTCCAGCAGCGATCCGCGGTGTGGTTGGTCTTGCCACAGTGCGGACAAGCCTCCAGTTTATTCACCACCTTCAGGGGCTTCGGGGCCTCAGGGGCGCCCGGGGGGCCCTGCGACACCATGGCGGCGTAGGACACGCCGGCCTTCTGACTGGCCGCCGTCGTCGTCTGGATGCGTTTGTGCATCTCCTCGCACTGACTGCGCTCCGGGAACCACAGACCCTCAATCTTCTGCCCTGTTATCGTGATAATGCACCTTTATATAACCAGCAAATGAAAGCACGATATTGAGGGAAACGGTGATAAGTCAATCACCTTCTACTTCGTCCTGACTGCGGTATAACAGGAACGGGATGCGCGACTGCAGTTCCACGTTCACGTCAAACTTCTGACTCCAGCACTCCACGGACTCGCGGGCCAAGAGCAGTAGGCCAAATTGTGCGCTGTCCGCTCTATATCAAATATTCACACACTAAGCACCATAAAATTCACTTCTGCACGCAACTAAAACAAATAAACCTTCGAATATAATAGGTTATGTCAGATTATTCAGATCAAGAAATTTTCAGCAACTTCGCTTCACGGGAATGAGGAAAATCAATGGAAACGCGTCAACTGCCAAAGGTATGCACCACAATCACATCAGATGATCAAGCAAATATGGCAACCAAATACCATTTCCACAGAACAGTTCCATTACATTGCAAATGGACTCGTCAGCACAAAGCAAACAAGTTTCCAATTCCATACACCATTTCCGGTCACCGGAAACCACAGACTACCTCTGAGTACAGTGTTTTATGATAATCACACGTCAACCATAATTTTCCAGCAAAGCAACATTTTCAAAATTCTAATTACTTGAAATTAATTTTATAATGGCCGTAATAATTTTATAATAGTTTACACTGTAAACTAATTTTTTAAAAAAACGTGGTTTAAAAATTCACATTTCATCGACGATTTAACGACAATATAAAATAAATTATCGCGAGCATTAAAAACCCAAGGGAAAATTTAACGCAAGCAAACGCAACTAATAGATTATCAGCGGTTCACTTGTACCGTTGTACGTTAACGATTTATTACATGTGTTTTACATATCAGGAATCCAAACATAGCTAGACTGCGGGAGAGCAAAATAATTAAAAAATATCCATCAGCTGATGCAGCTACCGAACAACACACGCAAAATAACTTTAAATAAGTAAAATTACGAGATAGATCGTATAAACTTGGAATTAATCCACATTTTTGTGGATGAACATCCGCTACATCCGCCAGCATTCCACTAATTAGCGACGTCACTCACACACCCCCAAAATTCTTCCCGGCGAAAACTCTTCCACACCGCGGGTTCGTTTGCATTTTTTGCCACACACCCATCATCAGCACACGCGGCTGACATTAGCGTTCGTTGCGTGTACACAGCCGCCATCGACATTTCATATCAAACAAACCCCGGCGACTTTTTTTAGCCCAGCTGTCCAACACCATTCCCGACCCATAAAATAAATACTCGGGGGGTGAGCGCGCCGTGTACGAAAGAAAATTACGCTGATTTATTCTTCGGCGCTGAACTTTTTTGTTTATTAATAAATCGGCGCGCTGCACTATACAACGCGACACACCGCCGCGCTCTCCCATCAAACGCCAACCGATAATGTAAATAAACTTCCAAACATTTCTCCCCCGCTCAGCTCTTTCTCCCCCGTCTCTCTAATTTTTCAATCACCGTTGATTTTTGTGATGTAATCGGATCCTGAGCCATCCATCTTCTTCGTTCTGAGCACTTCGCATGCAAATTATTGCAGATTCGGCTCCCCTGTCACTCGTCGTTAACTGAACGAAAAATCCCCCATTTTTATCTGTGACAGGCGCTATTTTTATCCCGTTGATAAAATTTATTCTATCGTATTTTACTTGTATTAATTCGTGGATTTTTTAATTGTTGCTAACCGGACAATAATCCTGGGAAAACCAGTACTATATGATGGGAATTTTGACAGATTCTGTACACTGCAAAATCGTAGTTAAGTGGCTCGCTCTGAATGTTTGAGAGCACCAGCCTACATCCGCTTTCTTAAAAAATTTCGTATGAAGTTTAACAGTGACGCCAAATTTTTTTATGTGTGGACTAATTAGTACGGCAATCATCGGTGATGGATTTTCTCCAGACGGATTCATTTTGCCCGCACCCATCCATGCTCTTGATTTGTTGAAGCACACAGCGTGGGCCGCAGATGGTGCGCATGCGCCGACGCAGTCAAGGGTGTAAAACTGTAAATCGATTTGTCAACAGCACAACAAAAAATCATAAACAACATCGCTGTCGCACGCGCGCCTGACAAGCGACGATTTATGTGCCGGTGCATTAAAGCTCTCCTAGACTACACTTCCGGCAATCCGGGATTATCCTCCTCGATTCCAATAAAAAAAAGGTAAAATATAACGATCTTAACCCTGAATTTCCTTATACTGAAAACACAGAACTAATCATAAATAACAACAGACCGCATATTACGTTTCAAACCACCGGCCACAAGGCAAGAAAACCTGCATTCAAAAACTTGAAAAACCTCTTTAATAATCCTGATTAACCATCAATATTAATTGGTAATGTTAATTAATTATTAAGCAAGGCCAGAGGAAAGATCAAAAATATCCTAAATAATGTGAGCGATCAGTTTCTACTCATAAAAAATCGCAGAGAATCATGTCACCAGAAAATCATTGAAAATTTAAAACTGGAGATTTCCAGAAACTTTTTTACACCTTCAGAATTCGAAACCTTTCCTCGATATTAAATGTACGAGCAGCCGATAAAACTAGAAAAAAAATCAATTAATTTAGAAAAAATACTGTGACAACAGAACATTAAAATCAGAATGTAAGAAAACAAATTTCTGCGACGAGACGGGGAACGTTTCGTGTCTCCGTGATACTGACGCAGACCAGCCACGTGGCCTTCACTTTTCATCACTGTCTTCATTTAATTCCCACCCTAGAAATCAGCCGCAATTGCTAATCGACACCGACGCAAACGAGCGCGGCTATCCCAAAATAAAACCTCGAGCCAATCCGTTACCCGCCCATTGCGCGCCGTAACGACACTACCGACGTTCTTACAGCGGAAAAAAAACAACCTCTTCCAAAACCTCTCCCTGGACACACTTGACGTATGATTTATTTGTGTTTAATTGATTCCTCTGGGGCGGTGCACATGTTGCGGAAGGATATGCGATGGGAAAGATAATAACTTCTTTGCGCTCAATTGATTCAACTGAACGCTTTCATCTATCAGCAGTCGTGTGCTCTACATTTTTTTTCCGCTACGGGTTTAAAAATATACACAGAATCACAGATGCACTTGTGTACGACGCGGTGACGGCAGTGTTTGCCGCATATTAATCCGCTAACACTCGCCTCAAGAACGCCTCACGCTCTCTTGGGAAGAAAATCGCTTTTCACCGCATTTCACCCTCCTTCAACATTTCTGACTTTGTCACGTCTGAAATCTAAATTTTCAGCTCTCTGTTTCGCAGTCTTTTAAAAACCAACATTTCAAATCTCGGCATAAATTCCCAGCGACGATTTGCGGTTAAATCTAGGGTCAGTTTATTCAGTCTGACAGTTTTCTCATTTTTAACTGGGAAATATTTCAATGATACATTTTTTTAAAAGGCTTCCTTTCCTTGCCTAGAAAATCGGTAAAAAAAAATCTTGATTATTCTGGCTTTTATATTCTATTATTTTCTATGCAAAATGTTATAAATTTTATATTTCGTATTATTAAAAACCGTCCTGCTACTGAGCGGAAATTTATTTTATAATATAACAATATTATTAATTTTTTATTCTGCAGGTATATTTTATTTCAGCATTTCTATCTTCAACGTTTTTTTTTAATTTTTGATTTTTAACAGTTCGACTTCGAAGCAGAAACATTCGAAGTCGAACTGTTAAAAATCAAAAATTTAAAAAAAACCGAATGTTATCGCATGATCACTGATAAATTTTAGTAAAATATTCCAATAATTTTTGCTTATTTTAGGCTAAATTTATCCAATAATTTCCGTTCCTTTTCGTCATGATGATCTAATAATTCTTCCTATTCTAATGGAGCAGCGGATTAATTACGGCACAACATATCGGAATACGGATGATACAATAACGAGGATATTATTTTTCATTTGGCAATCAATACGCGCGTCGGATGTTTGGCGAGCACGTCTGATTTCCGGCAGCTGACAGCCAGCACACGGGATTAACCTGGATTACTCGAAAACAGTCCTTATCGATCGTCTTTATCGGCTGGCAAACATGACGTCAGTCACGTGCGGCTTTGTCTGATTCTTGCTACACGCTTACTATTATCATCGGAATATTTCTGCCTCACCACAAAAAAAGCGCTGACACAATCCGCATCCATAATAAAGGTAAGGCAGAAAATAAACAATCACGTGTCTATTTTTGTCATAATTTATTCAAATGAAAAATATTTTCAAAATTCAAAAATCGCATTAATATTTGAAAAATAATAACCAGAAAATTCCTGTAATTAAAAGAGATTTTTGTTGCATTGAATTTAAGTGCGCCCTTCATTTCCTCGCTACCGAAAGGCGGAAGCACTCAAAACCGATGGTTTATTAACGAGAACGACACTCAATACAAACGCGTAAAAATCTTCCAAAATTACGGTAATTAACCAATTTCCGCGTCTGTTCATCTCGCGCTTCACAAGAGCACTTGAACATAGTTCCGACATACCTGCGGTAAAAAAGAAGAGTTCCTTCACAGTCTGTCGGATTCTGTAAAACACAACACAAATCCGATCAAGTTCACGTCTTCAAAACACGAAAAAATGTTTAAATTTTAATTTCCGTATCTAAATGTCGCGCATCGCACCAGCTCCCCGTCACATACTACTACAAACCAGTTCAACGTACAGGGAAGTCATAAGTACCACCGTGCTATTCAATGATAAGGTAGTCAACACTGCAAAAATGGGAGGAAAACGCTACAGCAGAATCCTCTTACCCATTTGTTCTTCTCCGTATCGAATCTGTACAATTTCACCTCCTTGGCGGAATAGACAACCTGCGTAGCGGAGGGATCGCGCTTCTGCAGTGCAGCAAGGAAGAACCCTGACAAGTTTTCCTTGTTATCGGACATTTGCTGTCGTGAATTTGGCGAATAATTTAATTCAAATGACGCACAGTGCACCGAGCACAGCCAAAACAATCTCGAAATTTAAGTCTCCACTTTATTTAAAAGTTCAAAAGACTAGCAGAAACTGGGATCTGGAAACTGGGAAACAGACACGTTTTGTAAATTTCCAACAAATTTCTCCAATCTGTGCAACATTCAACAACATTCAACATGCAGCAGCAGGCCAAGCAAGCGAAGCATCGCGATGGCAGCTGTTTATGAACGTGCAGTTCGGCTACGGTTCGGTTCAAGCCAGTATAGCCCGAGGGCCGAGTTACATGAAATGAGTCGTTGTAAATTAAATTCCCAGTTACTCTGCTTAGTTAAAGCATTACTGGAAATGGGAAACGTGGTTTTGCGTTCTTCTTAACTGAAATTTGCTTACCCTGGACTAAACGAGTAGGTCAAAGTGACGTCATGGCTACTGGGAACTGCAACACTACCAGCATATTCCATCAATAACAGTTTCTCAAAATGTTGCAGTCGATTACAGTAAAAATGTACAATGTACTCGTTCACGAATAGAGGTAATTAATTTCATTCTTATACTGTTTTTGACGTTAATGGATTTGAATCATTTGACGTATAAATTTCCATCATGAATATGCGCATAAATAGAAGATTTGAGGTCCAAGTCTTATACAAATTGTACAATCAGCACTCTTAACTCCTTAAACTAAACAGTTTTTCGGAATACCGTACAACCAATTACCGGATCAAGTACTAGGAACTTTGTGTACTGTACACTTCAGCGGCTTTGCCTATAATTACAAATAATTATATGTATTTTTATGTACAATTATGTGTATACAATATAAATTTCAAAATACCAATAATAAACACCAGTCGAACAAATTTCATGGTATTGTGTAGCTAGCGATGATACAAGCCTACAGTATATCACGAGTTTGCTTAAAAAGTAACAACGGTAACAATTAAATATCGAAAATGAGCATTAAAACTCTAGCTATGTATTAGCCGTGTACAATACAGCACTAATACAACCGTAGCAGCCTAGTAGGTATGCGTACGAGTACAGAACGTCAGTTGCTTTGTCGAACAAGCGGTTGCAGCCATTGCACTACGAATAACATTACACATCCATACTGGGTTTCTGTCAAGTAAAGTTAATTAAGTATTGTTTGCGGCACAATTCGTACATTTTAAACATTTTTCATTGTATTTCGTCGTATAGCAATACCGGTCACTTTCCCCGCAAAGGCTCAAATGTACCTTCTGTGGATAATAATGATATCATGCAACATGAGCTAGTTAGCGTAAACGGCATCCAACGTACAGTACATTATTATATCAAACAAATACATAGTGATAATCAAATGCTGACTTGCACGTATTGATATTGTATATTTACAGAGCATTATTACTGATCCACATACATTTTATCCAGCTGCAAGCATTGCAATTACACATAGAAAGATTTGAACGACTATCACAGAATATAAGCGCTGTGCAACAGAAAGGTCACTCCGCAACGGCATCCCAGGTCGCGTTAAGCTGTCCATTCTTGCGCTGATAATACAGATCACAGGGGTCGTCCGGTTTCCGGACCATGGGGATGACGACATAAGGCTGCAGTGGGAACTCAGCGGTCGGCGCCGGGACGCACTGGTACGTGATGGAGAAGACATCCGCCTCGCACTGCTCGTATTCATCCGGCGGCTCCACGCGGATCGTACAGTTGTGCATCATCCCGGTGCAGCGGTGCGAGATGATCAGACTGAAGGGGCAGCCGCGCACGTAGGTCAGCCGGCAGCGGGACATATTTTGCTGGGGATGGTCCACGAAATGGTAACCGCTGCCGCCGAGGATCCACACCATGGGGAACTCCGCGGTGACACATTCGAAGGTGTACACGGAGTTAACGGTCATGTTCACGTGGAAAAACGGCGGTGGCGGGCGCCGGGTGGAGGTAGAAAGGTCAAGCTGGGAGGTGTTGTGGAAAACCAGGGCGGAGGCGTTTAGGGTGTCGGAGGCATTGAAGACCGGATCGATGATGTCGGGTACCGTGCCGTTAACTGCTTCGACGGTCGCGGTGTTGTTATCGGCACCCAGCACAATCTGTAATTGCATTTAATTATTAAGAGGACTTACGTACTTAATGTAGATTTATAATTAAAATCACTTTACGAAGGATTGCGTTAGGCCGCGGCTGTGTTCTGCTTAATATCATTCTGATCAAAACTAGATTCAAATTGGGAATTTAATAACTGACTACTTTTACGTTACTGGTCGTCGACCAGGATACAAAATTTCTTTTATGAAACTATTTTACTTAAAAAAAGATTAGCGGATACGTATAATATCATTTTATATTATGTACAGTATTTACCACTGTTGCTTCTTGCTTCGTAGTACTTACCGGGTACATCGACACACATAGTACCATTATCGCCGCCGGTGCAAAATGCAGCAGACATTTTCCCAGCATTTTCACAAAGTATCCTCGTGGTATATGCTATTGGGTATTGGGCAACAAACTCCACCGAAATTTAACGGTAATTTGAAAACCCAGAAGCTCCTAGGAAACCCCGGGACCGATAATAATTTAACCGGTGTACCGGTGTCGAAAATATACTTTGCAACGGCAGTTTCTTTACCCCTCTGCAGCACTATCGTGCACGTTCATGCGTACATATAATTTTCGAATAAAAGTCACTTCCTGTTTAATAATCCGGTCGCTTTTTATAACAGACGGAGCCGTGTACAACATGGGATTTATTTTAATTAACGCGCCGACAAATGTGCCACGGCATTATAATATTCTAATGCTAAACAAGCGTACACAAGTGTTTTGGCATTGTTGTGCATTAAATACTGTTGTTGTTTAGCTGACGGGTATAAGTGCCAAGAACTTGATCCATTCTTCGTGTGAACAATTAAGTTTATGAATCAGTTAACTTCTTATGCAACTGGAAATATCTGCTACGTACAAGTGTATGTACATGTATATTCGAATGATAATGGTTGTCGTTATTTATTGAATCGTTACCGGTTGTTTTCACAATGTGGCAGTACTTATGTATAGCTTGTCCTTAGCGGTAGCACGTCAAAGCCGTTAATTCGATTAACCGGATGACTGCTACTTGATTTTCTCATGAAGTCGGAAACGCGTATAGACTTTTTAATCGGATTCCGTTAATATAGCATGTAATATTGCCGGCATACGTTGCCGGAAGCGAACTGCTTTAGCAGGAAAATTAATGTTGATTCAGTTCCTGCGGTTTACTGGTGTTCAGAGTCTTAGCGGAAATAAGACAAACGGTAGCTGAAGTACATAAACCGTCGCGCTAAAGAGAAACATTTATTTACATGAAAATTGCCACCAAAATCGGTATAAGGGCCATCCAAAATTTAGGTATAGTGCTAAACGACGCATTCAATACGGCAAAAAACATAATACGTAACATGATTTTGTCAAAATAAAATCAAATGCGTTATTTGTATAAGAATTGTCCCGATCGACAAACGGACATTCAGTTTTTACGGCTTATTCCCTTTCGCTGGTCCTGGGGCGCCTTTGGACTTTAAGACGTCCGTGGTCTGGTTGTGCGCGTGTTCGGGATCCCGGGATTTATGCTTGGCCGCGCGTTCCGGTCCGACCAGCATCTCATCCGTATCCACAACGACCCCGGCTTCAGATATTTTGTTTTTCGACTGAAGAAATTATTTAAGAAACGATAAAAGCAGCAACTTAATTACTTATTCCTGTAAAATTCAGATCACAATTGTTAGTTGTTACAGCACGAATTTGCCGGTTATTTTACCTTGATTTTTTCGGCGCTGGCAAGATTGCAGATCAATATTGCTGATACCAACAGCATGACGATCCACATTTTGGCAACGAAAACAGACTTCATGGTGTAATTATAATTTATAGCCGATGAATGTTTACCTATACTAAATTTCAGTAATCCAGCGATTTTTTTTGCGGTTAAACAAGGTGAGAAAACTTGGAGTGGCATACAAACGACAAACTGATGTGGCTGGATATTTTTTTATAGGGCACAGAAAATCGAACACAAAACTGGTTTTACTACTCTACAGTTGTACAAAAAACCGGTCTTTGATACACCAGTTATCTTTGCGTTGTAGCCTCTTTATTTGAGGCTTTTATAGGAAATTCTTTCACGCGCCCAGTATAATTATAAAATAATTGTATGGCTAGATCCGTCATGTTCACGAAGAGAGCTAACAGGATCTCAGGATACCATGTAGGGAAACCTGGAAAATAAATTACGGAGGAAATCCGTTTTGGCTTAGTGATTGATCGTGACTGCGAAGGCAGTGAAAGCTTTGTACAGATCTCTGTACGAATATCTTTTCGGTTCAATCCCGAATTTCAGGGATTCTTAAACATAATTATCAATTATCGTTTTGCAGTTACTAGTGAGATCGTTATGCATAATAAGAAGAAAACCTCGACACAAATCAGCTGTATTTATTTGTCAGTCAAACGGTTTTCCACAGTACTGCGTGAGGCTGCTAATTATTCGCAAATGAAATGCGAACATTACTCTATTAAAATGCGAAGTAGACATTGTGGGTGTTATACCTATCTTTCAATTTTCACCGTTTTCAGTTGGTGCATATCTTTGCAAGCGTTTATGTACTCTGTATACATACTGGCCATTGCCGAATAATAGCTCTCAGTATCAAAACGATTTAATTTTAGAACGAAAAGCATATCCAATCACATTTCGATGATGCTCATACCCTTTCTCACAAACCGGCTGCGAAACACCGCCATCACTGCAGGATGCGCAACAAAACAAGACACGATGACGCGAAATTATTCCAGAACGAAAAATATTGGAGATATATGAGCATGTATAAGCAGATAATTTCCGGGTCGAGGGTTTCTCTTACGGGTTGGGTGGTCGTTCGTTCTTGGCCGCGCGCACCGGATGCGCGGAGCGGTAGTGCGCCGCACGTTCCGATCCGTACAACATCACGTCCGTGTCCACCGCTACACCGGCTTCCTTGGTCTTGTCTTTAATACCTCGCTGACCGACCTGTGCAGCCAATGAGATTATGACAATAAAAATATAGTAATATTGCTATAATATCATTTGTATCATTTACTTATATTTGCACCTTGAGTCGCTCGGATGTTGTAGTTCCGAGAAGCAGAGAAACGACGACAAGTAAAAGATAAACAGCAATTCGGTGAAACGCCTTCATTTTGAGCAGAGGTCTCTTTCCGAGTAAAACAAATTTTCAGCCATTAAATCTTTACGTTACTCTATAGTTTACCCTTGTTTAGTCATGAGCGCGAGGTTTTTCGTTCTTGCCGAGTTGGCTGAATGCTTTTCAAGTACGCTGTTCATCCTGTCGTGTTTTGCTTAAGTAAGCACAGCAGAATTACTGGAAACAAACGTGTCGTTTTCGGAATGAAACCGATATCTGGGATGCACTATATATAACACAGTAATTTTTAATCAAAAATAGTGTTCAGTACTTATGATTAGGAAGGAGACCATGCTTCATGGAAGAGCTTAAACTTTATTTTACAGCTGTTTGCGGTTAGATTCGGCATGGCAGTAACTAATAACATAATATCACAATCAGTTATAAACTATTGTACTGTGTACACAGACATACTGTTCGCTAATATAATAATGATATCACAATTATGAGAGTATTAGAGCGTCAAATTTTATAATCTCCATCTTAAAAAAAGTGTCCACCGCGTTGCTAAGATCGGATACCGATCGTATACACGGCCCAGCAAAGGCCAGGGCTTTTTAATTTTTTAAATTAGTGATCTCGGGGCATCGAATTAGCCGTTAACCGGTTTTGAATTCCTCAGTTAACTCCGGTACGTCATCGATTTCTTCGCTGTCCGCTGATCGAGGGTGACGATGGGCGGTCTGATTTCTAGCAGCGCGCTCGGGTCCGAATAGGGTCTCCTCGGTGTCCACGGCAATCTGCTGCTTCTGGGCGCCACCTTGGTGTTCTGTATCTGCTCCAACCGCCTGTGAGTTGCGTTTCTCTCGGCTTTCAGGGGCGTCGTCATGACAGCCTCTACATCCGCCGGGTATGGCCTGAAAATGTTGGTTGATGAGATCGTGAGTGGCTAAATTAATAAACATTAATGTTAAAGCTGTTGCACACGTACCTCTACGGATATGCAGGCGATAAGGACAACCAAAAGCCCGATAGTTCCCATGTAGTACAGCATCGGCGTCATTTTCGCTACTTTTTAGGTTAGTATACTTTCAATAGTATTGAAAAGTTGGCAAAATTCGTTTGTACCTAGTTAAGAATTCTAGTCACGATAATGCGCACCGCAGTTGCTTAAATACGGATTTACGAATCATTCACAAAATGCTGCTGGTCATAACGTGCGCACTGCTGCGGTGAAAATGCTGTAATGAACAACATGTTTATACAAACAGCTTCCAAGAAATTACATTTAGGTCGCACTTTCACCGGTAACACTTACACGTTGCATAGCAGAAGAAAGTCAAAAACAATCGTATTACACAAAAACACCAAAACATTATTGTGTAACGATGAGAGCGGTGGCACAGTGTGTTCATTAAGAGAAAACATTTCCCTACAAATGGCGAATTCGTACAGTTGCTTGTTAATTTTAATGGGCTGCCCTCTAAGTGCAAAGTGTATACTGGTTTCGTTAAGTTAATCAGGAAAACAGCAGGAAACCGATGCAATGTTCCGATTAAAGTCAACCCGCAAAAGCGACAAATAACGGGCACAGATTGATAAGCGCTTTTGCTTCAACCACTGAGAAAAAATTATGCACGTAACCGGTATAGTCCAGCCCGGCAATAGAATTCCAGAGTTACCACGCAGAAAGCCCTGCAATGTTAATTTTAAATTTGTGAACCCCTTTCCTGTTTTGGTAATGAAATTAGCGACAAAAGCGCTATAACCACTTTACACTTAAGTGGACACAAGCGAATCAGCAGCTGGGCGATGAAAACTCCTACGGATGTTACATGACCTGCATCCATAGAATACCATTTTCGACTTCTCGTTGGAGCGATCTTAGCCCGTATTTTTTGCAGAGATCGGACCTTTATAATAATACAGCCTGTATAGTGTATAGCAGGTGTGCTCTTAAGCGTTCAAGCTTATCACGACGACATTCATAATCCAGAAAAATGTACATAAAAATTTCATTTGATATTTAAAGATATTTGATATTTATGACACGATTATTAACAAGAATGATTCTTCTCTAAAAGGCTTGAGTGCAAATTTAACACCACTTAGAGGATCGGATACCGATCATTTGTACTGTCTAACAGCATTTTCGAAAACAGTGTTCGTAAAAACCTCTTTGCCGTTGACTGCTGTTCTATTCCTCGGTCAGTTCTAACTGCAGGTGAACGACGACTTCGCTATTGACTGATCAAGGATGTCGCTCGACGGTGTGATTCCTGTTGTTCGGATTCTGCGACGTCTCCGTCCGGTTTCCATGGTTCCCCGAAGGCGCAGTTTGTTTCTCTTTCTGTTGGCCGCCCGTATGGGCATTTTCTGACTGATTTCTCAACGGCTCTTCCGTATTTCCAGCTAGCTGTTGGGTAGTGCTGCTACTGGGCCTTAAACTATTGGAGGTCGCTGCCTGGTTGCCGCTGTTTCCTGATTCAGTATGCGCCTGGTTCCCGTTGTTCCCTGAAGTGGCGTTCTGAGTATGATTAGTACTGCTTCCTAACTGCGCTGTCTCGGTCTGGTTTCCATTACTTCCGGAACGCGCTTGCGTCTCTTGGGCTACCTCGGTACGGTGAGCGTTGTTGTCCCCGGAATGTTCGGTCTGCGTCTGGCTGTTTTGGCTGCCGGTATGGAGATTTCTCGAATGATTCCGGTTGGTGCTTTCTTGTTTCGTGTCTACCGCAACTGCCTCGGAATTGCGTTTCTGCCGACTTTCTGGAGCGATGCAAATCGGGCACCGGGGTTTGGCCTGAAAAGCACGTTTTTAAGGAATGAAATAAAGACGCATCGTTGTTTAAAGTTGTTGCATACATACCTCTACGGATGTACAGGCGATAAGGACAACCAAAAGTCCAATGGATCCCATATAGTATAACAACCGGGTCATTTTTACAGATACTTATACTTTTAACAAGTTTGACAAAAACCGTTTTGATTTATTGTTAGAATGATTTAGTTGCAGTGGTGCGAGCAAAATCTGTTGTTTGATTTAAATATGGATTCGCAAACCATGTCCATGAAATCGGCGTGCTCACCGTTGCGCCGAATTTCTATCGTAATAAACATGTATTTTCGCTCTAAACGTCTAAATCAAAATAATACATTTAATTATTGTATCGCAGTTTTGCCGGTTAGCGCGATGTGTGGTATGAGCTTATGGCACAAGAAGCTGGAAACAATTATATCACTGAAAAACATCAAAATATTGTTATGTAAAATGAGTCATGCTAGCACAGCGTGTTTCATTAAGAAATGTACGTTTTCTTGGAATATACGCATACGGCGTTCATTCATTGATTCGGTTGTAAACGTAATAGTTACTGGTCTGCTAGCTTAGAGAGGAAAAAGAAATCAGTGCTGGATTTTCGATGACAATCAGCCCGTAAAACAGACGTACACGAAAGCCTCATAGATGTGGTGTCTTGTTATCGGTTATTAGAACGACCTGAAAACTGTTTTTAGAAAAATAACTAATCAGGACCAGACCAAAGCTTACTTATTTGCAATCTGTATCGAAAAATAATCGGAAAATCGTCAATACTAATACCAAATCTGATACTTTTTCCCATCCTCGAATGAATTACCGTCCGCCAGACGATACGTACCTCGCTGATATGCATAAGCGGATTTGTCTGTGACGCTGTGTAATCCGGCGCGATTATCTTACTTTCCTTCTCAGAGTTATATACGAGTATAACACATAAATTTTATAATACGGAAAAGGTGACAGTTATAATTGTCACACTTAAGTATTGCCAGAAGATATTTGACACCGCAGTTGCAACGCGTGTTCCCTTAATCTGCACAGTGCTCACGTTGTCCTTTGTGATCAGCCAATACTGCGAGTCTCATGGACCGAGACCTGATCCCAGGGACGACTTAACAGGGCTGCAGCGGGTACTCGGCCGTCGGTGCCGGGACACACTGGTGCGTGATGGAGAAGACATCCGCCTCGCACTGCTTAATTAAACGCATTCGGAGGATGCACGCGGATCGTACAGTTGTGCAACATCCGGGTACTGCGCGCGGTGCGAGACGACTACGAGTAGACTGAATGGGCAGCCGCGGGCGTAGGTCAGCCAGCAGCGGGATTATTACGATTCTGGTGGCTGCTGCCCACGATGATCCACAGTTCCACACCATTGGGAGTTCCCTGGTGATACACTCAATGGTGTTCGCAAAGTTAACGGCTGGGTGTTGTCGTATTCACTTTGCACCTTGGCGTTTGTCGTTTTATATAGGTATTCGTCGGAATATTTTAAAACATTACCCACAGGTATTTGAAACTATTCGTAATTGATATTATTCAGTATAATTAAGACATTCTTTTATACAGCTGTTTCTATAGGGTTCAAGTTCATAAATCAATGAAATGGGAGCAAAAAGGTACATAAAAACATTATTCGATAATATACAGTAGCCCGTAACAAGATGACCTTTTCTCAAAGAGACTTAGGCGCAGATAAAAGATTTGTGAGGATCGGATACCGATCATTTGTACATTTGTACGGCACTTTTGTACAACACTAATTTCAACAGCACTTCTTTTTCATTCGTCGGATAAATCCAACACTTCATCGACTTCTTCACTCTCGACCGATCGAGGGTGTCGATGCGCTGTCTGATTCCGGGCGGCACGTTCAGGTCCGAACAGGGTCTCCTCGGTATCCACAGCGATCTGTGTATGGTTCCCGTTATTCTGCGACTGTGCTGTCTCCGTCTGATGTCCATGATTCTGCGAATGCGTATTTTGCGTCTGGTTATGGTGACCGCCGGTATGAGCATTTCCCGAGAAGTTTCTCGACGTAACTGGCTCATCGGCATTCCCAGCGTTCTGCTGGGCGTTACTGTCATTGCTCCTCAAATTCCCCGATGTCGCTGTCTGGTTTGCGTTGTTTCCCGATTCAGCCTGCGTCTGATTGCCGTGGTTCCCTGAAGCTGCATTCTGATTATGATTGGCACTGTTTCCTGACTGCGCCGTCTCGGTCTGGTTTCCGTTGCTTCCGGAATGTGCTTGTATTTGTCGGGTGTGGTTGGCAGTGTTGTTCCCGGATTGTTCGGTCTGTGTCCGATTATTATGGCTGCTGGCATGTGTTGGTGTTTCTTGGGTGCCGTTTGCATTATTGTTCTCGGTCTGTGTCCGATTATGATGGTTACCGGCATGGGCATTTCCCGAACGATTGTGGCCACCGCCTTCTTTTGTTGCGTTTGTCGCAAACGCTTCCGTATTGCGTTTTTGTCGGCCTTCGGAATCAACTTCGTCATTGTCGGTGCAAAACTGTGGGCACCGATTTCCCTGCAGAATTTCGTCGATTAGACGCGAAACTAATTCACATTGGTTTAACTAGATCTTTTGCACACATACCTGAGCGGATGTACAGGCGATCAGGACGAACAAAACTCCGATAGATCCCATATAATATAGCATCGGCGTCATCTTCGCTCTTGATTAAACGAATATATACTCTTAATTAAAAATAAAAAAGTCACCAAAATCCGTTTTGATTGAGAATGCTCTGGTCGCTATGATGTGCAGACTGTCGTTGCTTGGTTTAAATACCGATTCACCAGCCATTCATAAACAGTGCAGGTCAGAACGTGCGCGCTGTTTCTTGGAAATTTTACTGGTATATTTGTAATTACAAACATGTTTTTTTGTCTTTGAACGAAAAAACATTTAGGTCGCAAATTTGCCGGTTAAGCGCGTACCGCTATTATGGCACAAGAGAGCCAAAAAACAATGATATCACCTCAAAAACACCAAAACATTATCGTGTAACGCGAGACACGCTAACGCATCGTGACTCATTGAGAGAAAAACATTTCCTGCTCTTTACGCGCCGGCTTTCATTCATTGTTTTGGCAGTGAGCGTAAAATGTTTGCTTGTTGTAAGAGAAACAGGTAAAAACCGATGGAGTAATTCCGATAACAGTCATTCCGGCAAAACAGACGTACACGAACATCACACAGCCACACAGACAGACAACACTGACCGCTTTTTTCCGCGACCGGTTAGGAACAGCTTTCTACATGCTGAAAAAACTACGAGTCGCATATCGTAGCACATGCGCTCTCCTCGTACAAGCATTTATCCACAGATCAAACTGCTCTTCACCCGGTAAAAATAGCCAAGTACTAAAATTAGAACGGAGAGAAGCGCTGCAATGTAACACACTTAGGATACACGTAACCCGAAGGAAAGATGCTACAGATGTTAAAGACACACACTAGACCTAGGACGACAAAATGTAGAAATCGACCAGTCGGTCCGCAGTTCAGAAATTAAATGAAAAATTAACTAACGATCCTACAGCATGCAGTTCGCTAACAGAGCGTTCGAACAGAGAAGCGCTAGTCTGCGCAGTACATGGTAAAAAGAAGCCTCTGCTTTTCTTAGTCCTACGTTGTGCCGTACTAAACCCGTTTTGACGGCTTATTAGAACGCTGTAAACCCGGTTTCTGAAACGATAACATCACGCTCCTTTCAGCTGCAACGCAGTACATTCGGTACTGGAACAATAATCATTAAACAGCAAAGGTTAATGCTGATACCACAAGGGACACTTATTCGCACACCGTCAAATGAATTACCGGCATATTTATTCCGCGCAAACGATCCCCACGTTGATCAGCACCGTGTGTGTGTGTGTCTTGTAATCAGGCGGGATCTGTCTCTCGCTCTTCTTCTTCTCAGACTCTCTTTCTCTCGCGTAACCGTAAAGATACTGCATGTCTTTGCCAGTGGCGTTAATCCACATCCCAACGCTCGCACACACACATACACAACCAAATTAGCCGCGCACAAGGCGCGTTACGACGTGGAATTAGATGGGTAGGCTAGGCGCGCATCACGCGCTCAGACGCTACGTGTAGGAAAACCACGAACATCGTGTATATACTGTGTGTACATGACGGAGCCTATTGATAATCATTCATCCACACGCGGGAAGAAAAGCGGGATCTTTATCCGCGGATCCCCGCCGTGTATTATAATACCATGATTGGGGTGTTCGCTTTTTGTCATATAGCCAATTAGTGCACTGTGTGTGTGTGTATGATACAGCGTCTTTATACCCGAGTGTCAATATGTCCAATCCAGGTGAGCCGCATCGGCTGAATGCTGATTAGGATGCTTTTCAGTGTAAACGAGCGGGATTTTATGCTGAGTTGTTATCGTGAGCGTGATGTATGCGTAAAGGTGAAAAATAACACAGTGTGTGTATAATGTTTTCTTGGGGATTTTTCTAGCGGCCAACGCTCCACCAGCGCCCACCACCATTGTCCTGCAGACCAAGGCGCCAGCGACCACCGTCACCGCTGAGGGCGACAAAAAGTCCAGTATCCCGACATCGCCCGGAGGTACCGTCCAATCTCATTGATCAAAGCGTGTTTTTTTCACTTACTAAGCAACTAAAAATCTTTCTGCTTCGTTCTCCTATTACGTCGTATTTTTCCCCGTAGTATTTATTCAACAGCTTATCAGAAATTTATAATTTTACAATTACCTTCAGTCAGGCAGTGAATTTTTTATGAGGTAGGATGCGTTTCGTACACGATCACGCTAGGTAAGAGATTTTCTTGAGGGTTTGGCGAATGATTTATGAGATCGGTGATGTTGTTCTTGGTGATTGCATAATTGAACATGCAGTCATCATAATCAAGCAAGCACAGGGTTAAGCGTGTCCATATGGACCGGTCTGGCGTCATTCACGCCAGGCGTGTAATTATCCTCTGGAACAATCTGGGCGTTATTTAGGCTATCAAATGCTTATTTTCCCCGGCAAAAAATCGATTTTTCCTGTGTTCATGTCGTGAACCTGTGCATAGACAATTTTCTTTGGCACGTGCAGTGCAGTAAATGCATCTAATTCTAACGCACCACATCTCGAACGCTGGCAGCTTATTCGGAAATGAGACATCCTACAGGGCTTAAACGGATGTTGTAGAGTCCCATTAGACCGGTATTGCATTCATATTGATTCATCTTCACTTAAATAAACAATGACGTACTTGGCATATCTAATCAGTGTAACAGCTGTCTTTAATCTAAACAAAAACCCGAAAACGGTACATTTTTTCTATTAATTTTATAATAATTCCCCTTGCTAATAATTTTTGCTTTGCTGTACCGGTACGGGAATAAATAGTATTTTTTTGCTAGGAAGTTATTAATTATGCAGTTACCGTTTTTTTAATCGATTAGCCGGATCGAACGGGACAGCCGGCGGCAAGCCAGCCACCGAGGCGCAGAATATTAAGATTGTCGTCCCCGATAAGCCCCTGTCATCCGCCTGGCAGAAGACCCTCGCCAACGCCACCGCCGCCGCCTACGCCAGTAAAAGTGGCGCCAAGCCCAAGCCCAATCCGGTCCTCATGGGCAAACCAGAGAACCGGCCCACCCGTGCCCTCTTCTGCCTGTCCCTCACCAATCCCTTCCGCCGGTGGTGTATTAAGATTGTCGAATTAAAGTACGACCATTTCGGCTGAATTTCGGCTGATAATTCCAGTTGATAATCGCCCTGATATTGCCATTGCAGGGCCTTCGATTATTTTATCCTGGTGACGATTTTTGCTAACTGTATCGCTTTGGCGATTACCACGCCGTATCCGCGATACGATTCCAACAGTATCAATCAGTTTTTGGTAAGTGCCCCGTTTCGCAATAAAAATTATTCTTCGAATGAATATTCAAAAAACGTTTTATTTCCTACAGAAATTTTATTCACAGTACCTTATTAGTTACTTTATAGAAAAATGATGTAACATACGTACTCTCGTAGATCAGCACTAAATTTGCGATCTTCCTGCATACTAAGTTAAGGTTGAATATTATCGCATATAACTGTACATCCGGTATCATCATATTCCGTTCGTCTAGGAGCAATTCGAGTACGTCTTCGTGGTGATCTTCACAACAGAATGCTTCCTGAAAATCTGCGCGTATGGGTTTCTGATGCACTCCGGTGCGTATCTGCGCAACGGGATGAACCTGCTGGATTTTATGATAGTCGTAATTGGGCTGGCCAGCACCATCATCCCGCTGATGGTGCCGACGCCCGAGGGCGGCAAGAAGGCTCCGAAGGACGCCTTCGATATCAAAGCGCTGCGGGCGTTCCGCGTGCTCCGTCCGCTGCGGCTGGTGCACGGTGTGCCCAGTCTACAGGTCGTGCTCAACTCCATCCTGATGGCCATGGTCCCGCTGCTACACATCGCATTGTTGGTGCTGTTTGTCATTATGATCTATGCCATTATCGGATTGGAATTGTTTATGGGACAACTGCATAAAGCCTGTTATGACAATGTTACCAGTAAGTCGACCGCATCGCACTGAAGCCCTATGATCTGTTTACTCGTTTCTTACGGTTATTTTCATACTTCTCTGAAGAATTTCTCTTCTATCTGGATCAATATTCAACGGTATAAATACCGGTGTTTTTTATTTAAATTTTGTAATTAAATAGTAAATACCGGCCGTATTTATTAACAATTTAACATTCGGGAAAACGCATACTAATATTGTAAAATTATTATTTGACATAACTAATACAAAATAGCCAACATTTATCAAAAAATAAAAATATATATAGAAATTCCAAATTGAGTATATAAAACGCGTAGTGAATTTTTTCGTTAACCAGCCGTTGAAGTGTAAGGGGCTTTTCCTGTTAGACTGAAACAGTTTTTACTTAAATATTGCAGTTTTTTAACAAGCGTTTTTCTCAAGCAAAGCTGGTAAGCAACCAGATTAATCTGATGCCGAAATTTGAATCCTTGACGACAGAAATTCTGGACGACACACATAGGCTAAAATGTTGAAGCCAAGGTATTAATTGTCATCCCAAAGTCATAAATTAATTAGAACACGTCATTCAAGTTCAATGGTAGCACGAATGCAATTTAGACCATCGAACCATGGTTGCTGTAAACGTGGTGCGCAGCAGAAGCTGGCTACGTCGCAGTTTATTAAAACTGAGCTGGCTGTTGTGGAAGCTGCTGTTGCCAGTTGGGAGCACTTAAAAACCCCCTCCTTAAAAACTCTAAAAATAGCATTGTGCTGCTAGAACGCCGTACAGCGCGGTCAAGCACAATGTCGTTCAACCGGCAAAACTTGCTCATCTGTTTATATAAAATTCTTGGCAGACAGCCGGCTGAAACTGCCAAACCGCACATGAAGCATCGTGGTGCGTAATAAATTTATTACTCGACAGCCATTGCCAATTGGCTTTCCAGGAACATTACAACGATTAACCTAACATAAAAAAGTTTAAAAAATCAAGAAAACTGGAAAACTTAATAAGAAAAGTAGAATCGTTGAACATTGCTAATGATCCATGTCTAAATAGATAATAAATTTTGAAAACTTATGACAGAAGAAGACAGACAGTATAAATACTCGTAGCAATTAACTGGTGTAATTAATCTGCATGATTTGTACCGTTTTTGTGCAATATGTATGTTGCAATTGTTTTATGCAGAAAAGATCGTCGATGAACCGGAGCCGTGCGGATACGAGACGAGTCCCGGTGTGTCGCTGGTGTGCGAAGCCGAGCAAATATGCCAACCAGCCAATGACGAATGGGCGGGTCCCAACGATGGTCAGCTGAGTGCTACGAATTTACTAATTTTCTTTGCTGCACATAAGCCGTTGTTCATTTTTCGAACGTCAATAAAACATAGAAATAATAACCTCTGGATAATGCAGTAAATAAACTAACTGTAAGGCTATAAAAACATTGATAAACAACTCGTGAATACACTAATAAATAAAGTGATTTTTGCGGTACCGGTGACACATATATACTCGTAATTAGCGAAGTGACGGTCTTCTTGTGAATTTCAGGGATTACGAATTTCGACAATTTTGGCCTGGCCATGTTAACTGTCTTTCAGGTTAGCAAAAAATCATAAAGGTTAAAGCGTACGAGTACTGCCCGAAATGTTTGAAGTGGCGGTATACTTAAAAATTTAATAAAAAAAATATTATTTAAAAATATGTATCAAATTAACCGTTTATCTTGGTTTTAGTGTATTACAATGGAGGGTTGGACGACTGTGATGTATTGGGTAAAACATTGCCTACCAGCTTATATTACATGAACTGCAATTCTAAAATTGAATGGCATTAATTTGCAGATGAATGACGTTATGGGGAATTTATGGCCTTGGATATATTTTGTTAGCCTTATTATTCTGGGATCGTTTTTTGTGCTCAATCTTGTACTCGGTGTTCTCAGCGGGTAAGTGGAACAGATAGCCCAAGGCGGTGTAAAGTAATTGTACGACATATAGGAGAAAATACACTGCCACCCGAAAAATTTCAAGAAAAACTATAATTAACAGAAAATTATATAGAAATTTGTTTGTACTGTTGATGTACGAGTACGTTTATCATACCGCATTATCTGCACATACAGAGTACTAGGAAATCGTAATTAGCGTTTTATGGACAATCTGTAGACTCTTTTGCAAAGAAACCGTAGCCGTCGATGGAGTCACTGTACTACGATAGCTGCTCAAATTTATTGTTTTATGTGGAGCATAAACACCTTTTATTAAATAGTACGTTATCTACATATAATGCTGTACCGTATATATAGACTTTATTTTATTATATAAATCAGCTGCTTTAACATAATTATAGAGAATTTTCCAAAGAACGCGACAAAGCTCAGAAATCCGGTGCCTTTCGGAAGAATCGCGAGCAGCAGGCCATCGATGCGGCATTGCGGGGCTATCTGGACTGGATCACCCATGCGGAGTTGGTGGATGAGGAATTCACCGAAGAAGGGGCGGAAAGCGAGGGCGGCCATGAAACCGGGGGCCTGCGGCGCCGGCCGACCATCAAGGGGAAACCGGATCTGGAGGAGGAGGACACGGAGGAGAAGGCCAAATGGTACGAGACCGAGCGGGTGAAGGCCTTCCGCAAAGCCATCCGCCGGTCGCGGCGTGTGTGCCGGCGGGTGATTAAGTCGCAGACCTTCTACTGGCTGGTGATTGTGCTGGTCTTTCTCAATACCTGTGTGCTGTCGTCGGAGTACCATGGGCAACCGGACTGGATTGGCGATGTGCAGAGTAAGTGTAGCCGTTTGACGTGCTAAGCATCGAATATCAATTGAAATTTCAGATTATACTTATCTGTAACAGATAATAATAATAAAGATAATAATAACTTAATAAACATAATACACTTCTTAATAAGCATTCCTTACAATAATTACTTTTTCAAGAATTTTTTTTTTCATTGACCGTACTTTTGATTTAATTGGGCAGGTCTTCAGCAAGCGTACTACTATTCAAGATTTTTGTAACTGCTCCTTTGCTGAAAACTGTAAGCTACGCTGTAAATTTGAGGGAGAGATTCAGAAAGTATTCGTACAATACGAAAATTTTATTCTCAATGCCAGTACTTACTTATCTGTACGTCACACAAGCAAAGATTACCAGTTATTTCCGAGGTCCAAGCGTATGGTTTTACTTAAAAGAAACATCAAATTGCTTAGAAAAAAAACTGGTTACGGTGATAAATTAAGCGAAACAGATCGTAACCGGTCAAATCGAGTAAATTGCAATATTTTGGCAAATTGGCAGACCATAATGGAATGCCCTGTGAAGTTTATGCCATGTTGCGCCACGGCACTACGATGCTTCTACCGTTTGCATGTACGATGTAGTTCCAGGCTGCAGCCTGCGGGCAACGTCTTGTGAGATGTTCAGTCAAAAACGGCAAGGAGCGCTGCTCCATGTTAACATCTTATCAGCTTAATAGTAGTTATAGTTAATTTTTTTTATCGTTTCAGCTGCACAATTCCAATTTTTGTTTAATTTTTGGTTTGTTTTTACTTATCTTGTTTTTACTTAACCAAAAAAGTATAAAATTTTCAAAATGTACCAAAAAAATTTTCCATTAGCCTGGTAAGATATCTTCATCAGCTTAGGCTGAATAAGTTGGCTACTGTAGGAAAAATAATAATAATAATAATAATCTAATGGAGGGAAAAATCCGGTAGTACCGATATTTGGCATAAATTATGTTATTGATGCCACAAAAATGAAGCAGGACAAATTTGTTTTGCAGCCTATACGAACCTCGTCTTCGTCATCCTGTTCACCATGGAAATGCTGTTCAAAATGTTCTGTCTGGGCTTCCAAGGCTACTTTGTATCGCTGTTCAACCGGTTCGACTGTTTCGTGGTCATCAGCAGTATCTGCGAATTTGTACTGTTCTGGTTCAAAATCCTCCCGCCTCTGGGTTTATCCGTCCTGCGTTCCGTTCGGTTGTTGCGCGTGTTTAAGGTCACGCGGTATTGGAACAGCCTGCGGAACCTGGTGACCTCGCTGCTCAACTCCATCCGCTCCATCGCCAGTCTGTTGTTGCTGTTGTTCTTATTTATTCTGATTTTTGCACTGCTGGGAATGCAGCTGTTCGGGGGGCGGTTCAGTATGGAGGGAGAAACTGAACCGTATCGGAATAATTTCGATAGTTTCTGGCAAGCGCTGCTGACGGTTTTCCAGGTAATTATACTTACTAGTTACTTAAGTTATTACTTTTAGTTGACTGTTTTCAGTATTCAGATACGTGCGTTTTTGATTTATTTTTGCTCTTGCAAAAGCATGAATTAAGGTAAGTTAAACTAAATAGATATATATTCTTTTAAACTACACCAATAAATTAGAAAATGATTGAACGAACAGAATACTGATGTAATAACCAAATCGTCGAAATGCAGTAGAAAAACGCCGAAGAGCCTAGAGTAGTGGCTTTGCTACAGATTTCTCTTAAAAGATCCAACAGCAGCATTTTGCAGCAAGCTTAAATTAGAAACGTAATATGCAGGAAACTAATTTTTTGTTCCGTGATGTTAGATTTTAACCGGCGAGGACTGGAACGAAGTAATGTACCAAGGCATCAAGGCGTTTGGGGGTGTGGACTCGATCGGGATCCTGTGTTCGTTGTTCTTCATAATTCTTTTTATTTGCGGCAACTGTAAGGTTTCCCATCACCTGCATGCAAAAAGTAATTAAAATTGCAGCCTGAAAAAATCTCTGTAGATATTCTGCTCAACGTCTTCTTGGCCATCGCCGTCGACAATTTAGCCGACGCGGAGGAAATGACAGAAGAGCAGAAAGAGGAAGAGGAGCAGAAGAAGCAGAAGGCCAGCTCGTCGCGTCAGGGGTCATTGGCATCGTCCACCTCGCAGCGCAGCGTCAAAGGATCCATTCATTCGCATGAGCATGTCAAGATCAACGAGGATGACGTGCAAGTGCAGATTATTGAGGATGAACCGGAAGAGGAGCAGCCTTTGGAGCATGACACCGAGAACCTCATCGATGGGCAGCTGCTACCCAATGGTGACGTGGTGCATGCAACAGGTGAGATGGAGATCATAGTGATCATGCTACTGTGACCTTTGGTAACATGATCTTCGGTATCAGTGGTTACAAACGTAACTGTTACTACAGCAAATTAGAGTCGATAGCGTTCATTTTGGTGGTCAAGGGTAGCCAAGGATCACATTAAAATAACTCTGGTAAAAAGTCACAATATTTGTTACCTACAGTAGCCTGTGCACGTACGACTCGATAGCCTGTTGTAACCTTCTAGTAACCGGGTGCAATAGCTTGATTATCGAAAGTTATTATAGCTTAATTAGCGAAAAGACAGAAATGAGCTGATTGATGCAAAATGGCAACGATAGAATGAAATTCTGCTTCGAACGTTTCAAAATTGACAGTGCGGCAGTTATTGTGCTTATTAGAATGATTCGTATTCGATAGCCCCAGAAATGACGTTCGGTTGAAACGTTCTGTTTCGTATATTAGATGAGAAAGCCCCGCCCCGAATCCGGCCCACACCCAGCCCGGTGCTAACCCGACTGCGTATTGACATGATCAACGAAGAGCGCAAAGTAGTGCGCGGACGCAGTCGCGAAGATCTCGTAGACCTGGAGCCGGAAGATGAGGACGAGCCGCCGGAAGAGGAGCCAGTAGAGGAAGAAGACGCCGACGCCCATCCCACTGCCCGGCCACGACGTCTCTCGAGATCAACATCAACGAGGCGGTCAAGCCGATCCCGCCCTACAGCTCCTACTTTATTTTTCAACCGGACAATAAATTCCGCGTTTTGTGCCACACCATCACCAGTCATCCGTACTTCACTAACGCTATTCTGCTGTGCATTCTGGTCAGTAGTTTCATGTTGGGGATTGAAGATCCGGTGGCCAAACAAAGCGATCTCAATACAGTAAGAAATATGTAAAGACAATAAATAAAAATAACACATAACATTTTGTTTCCTGCATAATTATGAAAAGGTAACTCCGAAACAGCTTTAATTATTGCAAGCCTTATTTAAATTTTTTTAATTTACTGTATCTTCATTAATAAATTCGGAAGTTTAAGCACCATGATAGTATTGCAAATAAATAAAATGTTCAATTAAACGTATTTGTAGACGCTCAACTTTTTTGATTACTTCTTTACGGCGGTATTCTCATTGGAAATTCTCCTGAAAACCATCGTCTCAGGAGTGATTGCTCATCCTGAGGCATTTCTACGGAATAAATTCAACGTGCTGGACACGATGGTAGTGGCCGTATCCATAATTTCAGCTACCCTGGAGTAAGTCTCACATTTTCTAATCAAAGAAAAACTGAATTCCGGTAAATGTTGTTCGACCTTTTGGTTGATGACGCACATCAATCTCCTAATGCAGGAATTCTCAGTTCTCGGCCGTCAAGATTCTCCGTGTATGTCGTGTGTTGCGACCTTTACGTGCCATTAACCGCGCAAAAGGCCTTAAGGTAAGATCACAGGCATCCAGAAAAATATCACTAATAATTAAATATTAGTTGCAGTTGCAGTTTTTTCCGAAAGATGTTTTACGTATTTTATTCCTGCAAAATAATATTTCACAGAAATTTTAAACCACTAATTCCTTTCTGTTTTGGTTTCACCCTTAAAATTTATTCTCCCCTTCTGTGCATTTTAATGAGACCGTTGCTGATACTTCTTTGCGAAAGGATTCTCTGCTATTTTTAAACAGCTGCTCAAAAAATATTAAAAGTGTTATTAGTAAAATAACTCTATTCTTTAAGTTTTATTCCCATCTTTTCTTGGCTTTAAGAATATTAATATCCTTCGCACCGGTTTCATTCTCCGCTTGGGCTCTCTTGTTTTCAGCACGTTGTGCAATGTGTGGTGGTGGCTATCAAAACCATCTGGAATATTATGCTAGTGACATTTATGCTCCAGGTGACTGGCACCCACTTCTTTTTGGCAATATTCCCTAAAACATTTTAAATAACGTGTTTTTACAAATTTCTTCAGTTTGTCTTTGCCAATATCGGAGTACAGGTAGGCCAATCAAATGTGTGTATATGTTCTAACTCCATGTTCTGTTTTCTGTATGTTGTGTGTGCTCGCGTTCCGACTAACATCAGCATGTTGTCCAATGTCTAATCACGTCCGTGCGCGTCATCGGCAATGTCCTACTGGTCACCTTTGTCCTGCAATTCTGCTTTGCCGTTGTCGGTGTGCAGCTGTTCAAGGGACGCTTTTCGGAATGCAATGATCCATCCAAGAGTACGGAAGACGAGTGCCAGTAAGTTGCAATTGCAGACCAAATAAAACGTGCATAATGCGCGAAGCATAAAACAATAATATACAGAATAATATAATAATATACTCTGTATGTAAAGAAATATTTTTTAAGATAACTACTTTGTACGAGTACAGACTTAGTGTCCCAGCAGATAAATACAGCAACAAACACGAATACTGCCTGTGCTGGTGAAAATAAAATAATGTGTCCTAAATGATGTGCGAGAAAAAAATTCATGTAATTAAAATTGCTAAAAATGCTGAAAGAAATGTTCTTTTAAATTAATTACATTAAATTTGCGTAGAAATAAATGAAAAACGAATTTCTGTGCATTTTGTGCGTCTTGGCGAACGCGACGCCTGAACATTGTTAACTAAGTAGTCTATGCGAGCTTCATCGCCATCGCTCTACGAATTTTTTGTGTAAGGACCCTGTTGTTTGCTACACTATGGTTTAATTATAAATAATGTAGACAATCTCGTATTTTGTGATTCCATAACACTACGTACTGTGAGCCCATATATGCGGGCTTTGTCGTTGTTTTCTACAGAGGCCAGTTTATCATTTACGAGGGCAACGATTTGGACCATCCGAAGAAAGCCGAAGACCGTGAATGGTCCAACAATAACTTCAATTTTGATAACGTGCCCAAGGCCCTGCTGACCTTATTCACGGTGGCGACATTTGAAGGATGGCCGTCGTAAGCCGATAATTTTTAATGCATCAATATTAATAGAATTAATAAGTACAATTATACTTTTGTAAGTGACCGCGTATGTGTTCATTGGACAGGTTAACGTACAAAGCCATCGATTCCAATCAAGAAGATCAAGGCCCGATTTTCAACAACCGCCCTTACGTGGCCATCTTCTTCATCGTCTACATTATCATCATAGCGTTTTTTATGGTCAACATTTTCGTCGGTTTCGTCATAGTCACCTTCCAAAACGAAGGTGAACAGGAATACAAACACTGCGAACTGGATAAAAATCAGGTGGGACGAATCATGCTTCCGGCACTGGAAAACCATTTTTAACCTTTTCGCTGTCTAAATGCATTATTAAACAACTGAAACAATTTAGGAGTACGAATGAATGATACTGCTGGAGTCTGGTTTATTATTCACTAGAGTAACATTTTTCCCACTATTAACTACGGGAAGTTCGTATTACGTGTAACGTGCATTAACAATATCGTTTTTATGTTAAAGAAGTTTTTTGACTACCAAAGACGACAGTTAAGACGTACCTTTGTGGCTTGCAGAGGAAATGTATAGAGTTCGCTCTGAAAGCCAAACCCATCCGTCGGTACATTCCCACAAACCGATTCCAGTACCGCGTCTGGTGGCTGGTGACCTCGCAGCCGTTTGAGTACTTCATCTTCGTACTAATCCTGCTTAACACGGTCACGCTGGCCATGAAGGTAATTAACGCTACAAAAATGCCGTTCGAAGTTTGAATACAGTTAAAAGCGGTTTTCGCCAAACCGTTACACTGTACACTGAGTCTTACCTTTCATTTTACAGTTTCATAATCAACCGGAAGAGTTCACGCTGGCGCTGGACTATCTGAATATCATTTTCACCTCGCTGTTTGCCATGGAAAGCGTTTTGAAGTTGATTGCCTTTCGCTTCAAGGTAATGTCCATGCAGACTTGCATACGAAACGATCTCTACGAAAATAAGATGACAGAATTAGCAACTGAAAATTTCCACCACATCTGTACATTTCGTCAAAAAAAGATAATTACTCTACGATAAACGCGTTTTGCTCGCTTGACTTTAGTATAGTCTATAAAATATAACTGTCTTGTGAATTGTGATCGACTTAGATTCGACAGTATGAAATGTTCACTTTTAAGACTATTAGCGATCGTTGGATGTTCGGTGTGATTTCGTAGAGCAGTGGCAAAAATCCCACTGAATGAACGGGTATTGTGGGTGTTTCACAGCAAGCGTAATCCTGTGGATTTAGAAAATTTAATGATTTTTTAATCCACTCAGGCTACAACGAGCAAACGTTTGTTTAGGACATGCCGTAAATTCAGTAAAAAAAATTCGGTCACGAATAATAACTCTTTTACATTTGCCAAGGTAAAATATCGTTACATATTGATTCGGTGTATGGGCCGTTATAATGAAATTACCAATAAGTTTTGATTGTCAATTTGTCGTAGAACTATTTCGGCGACGCGTGGAACAGCTTCGACTTCATCATCGTCCTGGGCAGTATCATCGACATCTGCTACTCCAAGTTCTTCTCGGACGGCCAGAAACTGATCCGCGTCAACTTCTTCCGGCTCTTCCGCGCCATGCGTCTCATCAAACTGCTGGCCCGGGGGGAAGGCGTCCGCACCCTCCTCTGGACCTTCGTTAAATCCTTCCAAGCCCTGCCTTATGTCGCCCTCCTCATCGTCATGCTCTTCTTCATCTACGCCGTCATCGGGATGCAGATCTTCGGAAAGATCGGGCTGGACAACGAAGAGAGCTTCATCAACCGCAACAACAATTTCCAGAATTTCCCGCAAGCGGTGCTGGCGCTGTTCCGCTGCGCCACCGGGGAGAACTGGCAGGAAGTGATGTTGTCGTGCGCGGGTCTGGATAAGAATCTGTGTGATAAGGCCTCCGGGGAACCGGAGGGAACGGTGTGCGGGACGGCGTTCGCGTATCCGTATTTCATTTCGTTTTATATTGTCTGCTCGTTTCTGATCATCAACTTGTTTGTGGCGGTCATTATGGACAATTTTGACTATCTGACGCGGGATTGGTCCATTTTGGGTCCGCACCATCTGGATGAGTTCATCCGGTTGTGGAGCGAGTACGATCCCGATGCGCGGGGCCGGATTAAGCATCTGGACGTGGTGACTTTATTGCGGAAGATCAATCCGCCGCTCGGGTTCGGCGCGCTGTGCCCGCATCGTGTGGCGTGCAAGGTATGTCATAGTACTAAAAAAGCTTATGCTTCGTTTACACGCTTATTGCGCAAAAACGCTTCTGTAAATAAGCGCTTGCAGCTTGCACGAACTCATGTTCCTATTGCACAGTGCGCAGTACGCACTACTAGCGCTGGAGCCTATTTTAATTACAATAAAGTCAAATGACAATAAAGCTAAGATATGTATCTGTATATGCTGAATCATTGGCTTCATAATATTTTTAAGATAAAGAACGTGCATGAAATAGTATTGATCTGACACAAATTATGGGCGCTCACCAGCGAATAAATAATCTGATGGCGCAAAACACATCGTCGTGCTTTTCTTTAATGCCGGTTTCAAAATTTTTCTCCGGTTTTATAGCCGATTACTCTTTCTTATAACATAAAATAATACATCCTTCGTTGCGTACAGTACCTAAATTAAACTACTGTGCATAAACGAAATTGTCGCCACCTGGAATTACGCATAAATTCGTTTAAATTATTAGTATTATTATGAGTTCTTTATTTATTCTAAAAATTGAAAGCGTATTAAGAAATTATGTATCAAGCTTTTGCAATTTAACTACAGTGGATCGGCCAAGCCAGAACGACAACCGATGTGAACGTTTTAGCCGTTACACTACCAAACACATGCACTGAAGAGTTTGTCAAAACCATTTTGGTATGGCAAAATTTCGCTATAAACTTTTCAGTTCTTTTATTTCGAATGCTTTCTACGCATTTCTTTGAGGTTTTATTGAAAGCAGCCTTTGTAGCGCTAAATATTAAATCTTACAGATTAGACAGCAAGCGATGTTGTTGAGAACACTGTCACAGCTAGTTAGTCGAAAAAGGATCGAAGGTCAGCAAAAAATCCGGAAAACACCCCTTCACAGGCTCCTCCAATCAGACGTTTAGATCCTTTCGTATCTGTGCATAGAAAAACCGTAGCTAAAGAAACTACATGACCGGCTTCCGATAAATCTGTATAGTCATGCTACGCTCATGGCAGGCAGGTCAAAGCAGGTGCTCAGAACGTAATGGATCAGCTAGACATCTAAAACAGTAGTCTGAACAAAATAAGGTATTTGAGTACAGTGCGTGTTTGTTTTCTAGCGGCTGGTCTCCATGAACATGCCACTCAACGCCGATGGGACGGTGAATTTCAATGCAACCCTCTTTGCTCTGGTCCGCACATCGCTCGGCATCAAAACCGAGGGAAATATCGACGATGCGAACGCGGAATTACGGTACATCATTAAGAAAATCTGGAAAAGAACACCAAACCGTTTGTTGGATCTCATTATTCCGGCGGCTGGAGGTGAGAACGGTGACCTTTCTTGTAGAACTGTTTCGCACTGTTTTCTAAACCCTTTAACCGACAGATGATGATGTAACCGTGGGCAAATTCTACGCAACATTCCTCATACAAGACTACTTCCGCCGCTTTAAAAAGCGGAAAGAAATGCAAAATAAAGCTGCAAAGAAGAACGAGAACACGGTAGCGTTAACGGCCGGTTTGCGAACTTTGCACGAAATTGGTCCGCAATTAAAGCGGACGATTTCTGGAACACTGGATGAAACCGAAGGCGAAGAACCAATGCATCGGGTACCCGAATATTTATCTTTTTAACACCCTAAAATATGAGCAATATTTATTGCATTTTGAAGTGAAATTGTTATTTTGTACTGCAGCGCAATCATTCGCTTTTCGGTACATTATTCCACCGCAGCCGCAGACGTTCCAAGAACCAGTCGCTACGGCTGACACCGGTGCAAAAACCCCGCCTAATGACCGTCAACGGCACGGCCACGCCCTTCGCCAACGGAGCTGATGCGCTGCGGCATGCTCCGAAGAATTCCGCCGTGAAGAAAGAGAAGGACACTCCCAACACCTCGTCCAGCGAGGTGAAATCACGGAGAATCCTGGATATTCCCAAGATGGACTCCAAAGCCCGCAGCATCCTGGGTGAATACAAACGGCCCTTCGATGGGACCGCGGAGAGTCCGTATGTCCAGAGGAAAAAGCAGGAAACGGAGAGTCATGATTGGTGATTTTTGATCCCCCCGGTTCGCAGTGATAGAATGATGTCGGTTTTGTATTGTCTATTGAACATGTTTATTATGAAGAGGCGAGGTCGCTAAACGTTGTGCCATATCGCAATAAAGAGAAAATTATCCGCGTTAAGCAATAATAATTTGTTGTTTGCAGTAACTGATGTAAATAATAAAAATAATCACAATATTTGGATTATTTATTGAAGCTGCTGCAGACAATGATCGCTCTCGTTCACTATTTTTGCACAAACACACAAAGTACAGATTTGTAAGCACGTAATACTTGAGCCATGCAAAGTGAATCTTGAGGATTAATACAAAGACCAGAAGCAATGTACCCGAATTCGCGTAAAGCTACGCGGCCTCCCAGACTTTTTCTTTTATGCCGGTATATTTAAAACTTTAATCTTTGTTAGCTAGCCACCCGAGTAAGAAAAATGGACTCCCTACATAATCAGAAATTCATACATGGGAAACAACCCAAATCGAAATCCTCTTTTGGGCTAACAGACATTTCGCTCAACGCAGCAATTTCGTCTCCTTTACAACAGCCTAATTGAAAAAAAGTTCAGGGAAACCATTTGAGTGCTTGTCGGCTGCATTTCTCAGATCATCCGATTCATAAAATGCAGTGTGAGTATGAGAAAATAAGTTCGGCATCCCCAAAGACTGCATTCCGTTAACACGCGGAGTGTCAGTATTATTTCAAGTACAAGCACATATGGCATTATTAGTGGATGAAATGCGGAAAAATCTGGTTGGCAATCATGGTAACGGTGGCAATTAACGCAAAAATCTGTAAAGCAAAAACCCGATAAACTACTTGTATATTTAATCGATGAAGCGAGGAACCGGCTTTTCAGTAAATAGTTATTTAAATTAACTTAAGGCAAGTGCAGATACGTAGGTACTCTGGCTATCAAGGGAAAGTCTACTGTAATTTTGACTGAGTGAAAAGCAGCGTATAGGGCCTGACTGTTATGGCATATTGGCGGTGCTACAAAAAAACTTTGCGTCTAGAGAAATAATAGGCAATACTGAAAATTTCACGAAAGATCAAACCTTCACAATTACGGAGCAGTTCCACCGCATTATTACACCAGCTGTGATTTCCATCCGCAGGTTTTCTTCACATGTTAACAGGCACTGCAGTGATTTTTCAACGTCTTCCCGCTAAAAACCACAAAGCCATCAAGCGCTTCTATTTGCATATGAGCGAGCCGTTGTGTCTCATGTTTTAGTTGTACTGAACATAATTACCTTCTCTGTCTCCCGGGAGAATACCATACTGTTAAGAATGCTAACAATTATCCTCTGTATTCGTCGGCTCTGCAACCAAACGTAATATTTCGCGATTCGCACCTTAATTTATTCACCAATCAGTAATCGCCGAATCGGAAACGGGTTTTGTCTAAATCATTTTATTTTAAGCAGTTTCGACTTTTAGAAAGTCTTACCTGTTCTCGTAATCCCAGCACCGGGATGTAGAAAATCACCAGCAGTAATCCATAAATAGCCGTGGCGAAAAAGTAATAGTAATTGGGATTTTGCGACAGAATATTGGAGACAGCCATAAACCCAAGCATATTTACCGCATCCGCCCAGAACGCCAGTCCTGCAATCCATTTAAATGTGTGACCTAACGCTTCCGCAAAGTTATGGATGCGGTGACGGAATTCAGTCAGCTCCGTCAATTCGTGCATCGTCTGAGCGTTGATAATCTCAAGTGGTGATTTCTTACATAACCGTTGAAGATAATTTTCATAGAGATCAGCGTACAGTTTTATGACACAACCATATGCAAAAAACAAAACCAGCGGCAGCATCGAGAACAGTATGGGTACCAGTCCTAACGCCTCCCACAGCAGAAAGAATTTCCACCGCGCAAAGGCCGCACCTATTTGAGTGAAGACCGTGCTGTTAACTAATAGACTGGATAATTTAAAAGCACCGATGGAAGGATCCAGTCCAGTCCACAGGCTGAAATCCCAAAGGAAGTATGCAATCATTAGCAGGGAAAATCCTAACCACCACATTCTGATATGGCGATTGGTTACAGGTGTGACAAAGGCATCGCGCTTTTGGATGTCGTACACAACTTCTTTAGAGAGAAGCCAAAGTTCTTTTAGGGACTTTTGTTGTACGCAAAAAGCTAGCAGAATTAATGCGGCGCGAGCCGACTGCAGGATTTCCTGCACGTGATTAAACAGATCCAACAGCTGCAGCTGATACTGTTCCGATTTCGCAGTCCAAACGGCAATGCACCGCAAAAGGTAAAGCCCGGTGGTGGCGAAAGCGCCCGCAATACAGAACAAGTGGAAACAATACTGGAATCGCGTGATGCAGGGACGGTTTGACTTGGTAGTTGGCAACTGGATGCCGAGAAAACCATGAAGGCTGTCAAGGATTTTTAAAACAGCAGTGGCCGCTCTGTGGGACATGGTGAATGACCTTACGTCCTTTAGTACGATGACCCGGTCCACCAGCAGTGATAAACTATTCAGTTAAAGCCATCAACGCTAACAGCTGTATCGGTATGGACGAGCAGCCTTTGCACGGGGAAAGCGGGCAGGTTTTTGGTTGGGTAAATGTCGTCCTACGGAGACAGTCTCCGTAGGAGGACTACGGAGACTCCGTAGAGAAGCGCTCTATGGGGAATATGCAAAAAGTGTATCGTTTGCTGGCTGTTGAGGTGTGCGCAACGGTATCAGTGAAATTTCTAATCCCATCGGGTGATTTCAAGCCATTTCACACGCCACGACGGAACACCGCAAAAGTATCGTGATATTTAGCGGTACACTACTGCACACAATCAAACTGGAAGTTGACTGCTTTATTCCTGAATCGCCACTATTGAACGCCACTTTGCACCAAACCAGGAAAGATTAGGCAGAACAGTAAAACAGCGAGCAAATGCTGAGTACATCGAGTTACTAGTACACCTTGCCGAACGTACCTCGCCAGTATCTCGGAGTTTTGTAAGATGTCTGCAATAAATGCATATAAGAACGGCAGTTAAAAGTCTTAATTTAACAGTACGTGTGTTGTAGTATTGTTGACGACTTGACGTACCGTGGATGTATGAAGCTACACCTTTAATAAAAAGCGGCAGCTAAAAATACAAATGCTAGCAGATTGTGCGTGATACCCAACATTCAATGATTATTGATTTATTGTATTTGTATATTCATTGTATCTCGTTTTGTGACGGCCTAATTAAGACACAGTCTGTATTCCATGATATTGCAAGTAAACATTGCCCGACAAGACAGGTACCAAATGAAAACTGTTTTCAGTTAACATAAGAAGTATATATGGAACGTTTCGTACCAAAGAAAAAAACTGGAACGTTTTTTTCTTTCTTGTAGTCACTGTAGTCATCCGTAGACAACCTGTAGACACCCTGTAGACAACCTGTATACATCCTAAGAAACGAGATGACTACAGTATGTCTACAGTGGTGTCTACGGGCTGTCTAGAGGTGACTACCGGTGTATATAGGCAGAGTATCGGAGGGTAGGCACACGCCGGGGAAAACTATGGTATAGCTTGGTAAAGGCCCGCGTTTTAAACCCATTACGCGACTGTTACCAGACCTTTAACTGCGTTTACCCACCGCTACCGCACATCTTCCCGCCCATACCGCACCTCTTGTCACCTATACCCGCCGATACCGCACCTCTTGTCACCTATACCCGCCGATACCGCACCTCTTGCCGCCTATACCCGCCGATACTGCACCTCTTACCACCTTCACCCACCGATACTGTACCGCTCACCACCTTTACCCGCCTATACTGCACCTCTTTACCCACCGATACTGTGCCTCTTACCACCTTTACCACCGATACTGTACCGCTCAACACCTTTACCCGCCGATACCGCACCTCTTACCACCAATACCCGCCGATACTGCACCTCTTACCACCTATACCCTCCGATGCTGCACCTCTTACCACATATACCCTCCGATACCGCACCTTTTACCACCAATACCCGCCGATACTGCACTTCTTACCACCTTTACCCACCGATACTGTACCGCTCACCACATTTACCCGCCGATACCGCATGCACAATGCACTTCTCGAAAAATCTTACAAAGCAAAAAGATTCATTTTAATGGGAGCAGACGACTTAACACCTACTAACCATGGCTACGATTTCTGTTTTTAACGGCTTTTTGGAAGGCTCGATCAATAAGGGTTTGTAAAGGTACGGCAGCGGACGCGAAAGGTGGTAAGATGTAAAGTAACGGTGGTTATAAGTGGTAAGAGGTGCAGTATCAGAGGCACATGGTGAGGCAGCACGGGTATAGTGCAGCAGCACCTGATGGGCAAGAGGCAGCAACGAGCGGGCACAGGCATGCCGCTACAGCATCGGTGGGCAATGCGGTAAGAGGCGCGCATCGGCGGGCATAGGTGGCGGCGGTGGCACCGGCGGCAGGTGGTAAGATGCGATATCGGCGGGTATAGGTGGCAGTGGCAGGCGGCACCGGCGGGCAGCTGCGTAAGTGGCACAGTATCGTGGGCAAATGCGCGGTACAGTATCGGTGGGTAAAGGTGGTAAGCGGTACAGTACCGGCGGGTAAAGGTGGCAAGAGGTGCAGTATCGGCGGGTATAGGTGGTAAGAAGTGCGGTATCGGCGGTAATAGGTGGCATCGATATCGGAGGTAAACTTGTTAAGCTTAAACCAAAATTTAAATCTTTCCTGTAGTATAGTTGTTGCTACCTATACCAAGCATTCCAACCTTTACCGTTACGCTAATGACCTTTACAGCCTTTACCAAGCTATACCATAGTTTTACCCGGCGTGAGCCTACAATGGAGTATCGAGCTGAACCTAAGAAGGGCTGCCTGTATACAGCGGTAGACATCCGTAGACAACGTGTAGACACCGCTGTAGACACGCTGTATACATCCTAAGAAACCAGGTGACTACCGATAGGTCTACAGGGTGTCTGCAGCATGTATACAGATGTCTACTGTGACTACAAGGAGCGAAAAAACGATTCGCTTTTTTTCTTTGGTACGAAACGTTCCACAGGTGTAAGAAGGAATGCAGTCGAACATACACTGGAATTTTGCTTAAAATTTGGCAGATCAATGGTATGTATCGG